GCAGTGCCGAAGTACTGAAAGATCTCTATCTTCTGCGAAACCTCGCACATTCAACTTGTGCGACTTTGAAAGCAACGCAGCATGCACATCTTGCGGCAGCCTAGTGCTAGACAAGATGCAGGCACATCGGCAGCGTGAAAGAAGCCACCGAGAATCTGGGTCAAGCAAAAAGCAATCGTCGTCTGAACGAGCAGGAGGAGCCTGAAAACGAGGCATAACCGCAAGGCTTTGAGCATGCCGAGTTTGGTGTAGTCTCCTTGCTTCAGGGGCACATGAACGACCAAAATAACACGACCAAGCTCCCATACATAGCAGTTGTCATGATGTACCTTAAACGCGCTAACGAGGTCCATGCTTGCAAAAGCAGCTGGGATGTCCTCTGAAACATCTTGACAACATGCTTCTTCCAAAATGCAGCGGAGAGTCAAGGCATCGAAACCCTGCATTGTTCTCATGAGTCTGACAAGGCGAAGAACCCTCGCCAATCGCAGTGTTCCTAAGCTGCTCACTCGGATCTCCTCACATGGAGGAAAATCTCGGCAGATCCGCACGGAGGCCTTCACGAACCCTGACCTGCAACGGAGTATACGATGCATGCTGGAGCTTGCTGAAAGAGTTGACCAAGCTTCTGACCATGCCAGAATCCAGAGGCATATGCTGGCTTAAGAACAGATCTGCCAACCAGAGCACAACCAGCGAGGTGTCAAACCAGTTGGTGGCATCGCAGAAGAACTTCCTCTTGGTTCCAGCAATCCGAACAAATATCTCAATCAGGTAAGCAACGCCGAACATCACATCCTGGGACAAGGGCCGCTCAGGAGTGTAGAGCAATTGAGGGTCGATGCAAGCACACCGCAGTCTGCGCTGGATTCTGCGAAGCTGTAAACACGCACTCAGCTTGACTGCACAGCGAGAGAAGCTCAACTTTCAAGTGGGTATCGAGAGCAGCGAAAGCTGCTTCCGCGTGAGGCCACAACTCGCCTTGGGCCAATCAGCCGACTCGTTTCAGCTCGTCAAGCATTCATCAGGCTTCAATGCAAACCTGGTGGGTGTTATCCTACTTCTGCCGTGATGTAGAACTGGGTGACTGCCTTTTCCATTTTCTGCTCCTCTGCTCTAGAAGGATATTCATCCAAGGCACTTGCAGGCGAGTTAAAACTTGGATACCCAAGCTCGTAGCCTCTCTGCAGCCCATCATACTGCAACTCGAGGCCCATCCTTCAGCGCACGCCCCAAGCATTTGGACGTAAGCTACAGTTGCCATCACTCTCCTTGTTCGTAATACGTTGCTGCAGCCAAAGCACACCAAGGTATTGAGCAGAATCAGGAGGCAAAAGAAAACATCAAACTGCGTACTGGACACCCAACGTCCTCTGCAAGTCACAAGGTGTGGCGGTGCACAACAAAGCTCGTGCATGATACACGCTTCGATTCGTCTCGGCCGCGAAACTCCTCCTTTGTACCAGGCCCGACGTGAAAACGACAACTTTGGACCCTCAGCCCTTTGGACCACGCTCCTGGGTGCCAAACCGGCCGTGCCAGAACTTCAGACAACTTGCTGGGCCGGCCACCGCCTCGAATGCAACAAGAAAACCGTCTGCTGCTGCATCCTGCGACTTGCATCCAAGCCGCGTTTCTGTATGGCTGCTATGAAGGCGGAGTTCTTGGTTGATGAGGTCCCCTTCACTGCCCTGTCCTCGGCTTCCATGCCGAGTCGTCGGGGCAACGCAAGGACAAAAAGTTTTAGCGGCTGACCCACCCGAAAGGCTCTTCCCAGTCATCTTTTGCAGTGCAAATCCTAACGGGTCCTTGCCAATACAACAAAGCACGTTGCAGCGACACCTGCAAGAGCCCGTGTAACATAGGGGCCTTTATAATTCGATTGGAATTCTGGAAACCCATTATACTACAATTATCATAAGGAACCCACCACAAAGGTGTAAGTAGTTATTAAGGCGCCTGTAGTAAAGCAGTTCGGCCATGTCTCGGAGTTCTGAGACGTCTGGGGCCTGTTGTTCGCTTCGGACAGCGTCCTCCGCAACAAATTGTGCCAAGGGGTTGCTTACGTTGCCTGCCGGTAGAGCTACAACTTCCTCACACAAGTGCGGCTTCCGAAGGTTGCATGTACTGGCATCCTTGGGAGATGTCCTTCGGCATAGTCCCTGGCCTCGGCGCGCGACTTTCAAGATGCAGGTTCCGTGCGATTGGGTGGGGACGTCAGCAGCCTGGGCTATTTTCACGAACCGGTGCCCGGGGGTGCCTCAGGTCGGTCAAGGGGCTCCGGGGCTTTCTCTGGCACAAAACGAGAACACGGGGCTTTCTCCATCCTGAATGGAATCGAGGAGGCTGTGAAGTGAGGTACTACAAAGACATGAGAAAATCTGAACACGGCAAGTCGGCAAAGAAGATCGCCGGTTGCTAAACTTGTAGTATAAGCCTGAACGATGGAAGAGTATTGGACTTCATGCATTATTTTGTTATTTTGCTTGGAGGCGTGCGGGTATGTATGCATATGTGTGCCAACCTGGGAAAGCACGTGCTTGTGCAGTCATGTGTAGAATCATGTGTATATGTACGCGCATATAGCAAAAAAATCACTTCTGTAAAGAAGAGCCTGTATATACAAGCATGTGTTCATAGCATAATCTTATATGACACTCAACAGCACAATATCCAAAAAAAACAGGCCCCATGGCAGGCCGCTCTCCTTGTATAACAGACTCCCAAGAGTTTGGACTGGATCTTCGTGTCGCGGCAAAGCCAGACTTCGTAAACTTTTGTGCAAGATGTCAAAAGAGCGATGGAAGTTGCGGGCTTGAGCCGCGGCTATCGACGAAATTGGGGCCGAACGCTGCAGCAAGAGCTCCGGCTCACAAGCATGCTCGTCTTTCCATGACTACTGGATGCTGAGAGCTGCGCACTGTAAAGAGTCTGGTCGCCACTCTGGCCTGTCATTTCGGCATCGATATGGAATTGTATAGTGCTTGGCGGAGCAAGACTAAGAGTGATCATGGTAGGTTGTAAGACGTGGATGCACTGAACAAGTCTACCTTCGAACAGACAGGCACGAAAAACGAAATCGAATAGGTCAGACCACCACAAGACCACCAAATCGAGCAACAACACAAGTGTAGGCGTAACAATAGATTACCATCAGAAGCCGCATGCCGCATGTTACAGCACAATGCGGGCAGCATATGGTATCCGGCATAGTCATACGGCACCTGGCTATTTAGACTAGGTCTTACCATGATAACAAGTGACAGGTAGCGCAAACATGTGACACGACATAACGCGGAATAGTACACAATGGCACAGCATGATACAGACAGGTGTACTAGAGTAAACAAACTATGCCAGGCTAGTATACGAAAACATAGGTGCATGACGAGATGCTTCGAGCGGGCGCAGCAGGTTGGCCAGGAAGCGGTAAGTACGTTCTTGTTGCGGACTCCTCGTTGGAAGCTGAACCGAGCAACCCATTATGGGGGCGACCACTGCCGGAGTTATCATCGTAATATGGCATGAACGAGCATCACTACTAAAGAGCAGCAATGGCGAGGGCGCCAAGCATGTCGCTGGCCTCCAGCTTGCGGGCCATCTCCTGCAGTATGATGTCGTGCTGCCTCTCGACAGCCTGCCCAGACAAATTCTTTGGAGCATCAGCCTCAAGCAAGCACTCGTCTATGCCGGGTCTTCAGTACTTAGTCGGATGTTGGGCGGCATGCAGCTCCGATGCCTCCAACATAGTGGCACGGGCCACATGGAGAGCTTCCCGGAGCCAACCTCGGTTTCAGCGTCCGTGCTACAAGCGTCTCAGACTCTCGACAAAAAGCAGCAAGCATCTAACTCTCAACGACGAGAGTACGGTCTCATGCGAGGTCCGAAACTAAGGCACCAGGCTGGGAATGTCATTTGCAGGAGGTTGACCTGCATCGACACTCTCTTCACACCCCTTCAACGCCGATCTGGTCGGCTGCGGGACAGGCATCGAGCGCACAAGACGACTGAATCGCAAAGCGGCATCATGGCCGCACCGACAGCCAGCTTAACGACACCCATCCTTCCTAGCTTACAGCCGGCCTACCAGTAGCACTGGGCACTGAAGGCCTGTTGCATCACACCATGCTGTGGATGAAGCTGCATTTCGAAGAGGCGACTCAGTGAGCATATGATCTTTGGCGCAGCTCGCACAAACCGCGTATGCAAGATGCAGGACCCTCTCTTCCAGGCCAATGTAGGAGGCACTTGCCAGTTCAAGGATTAGGTGCTGTTCGATACCAAGTTGCTGGGGCAGCCGGAGACGGTGGAGAGTTGCCTGTGATGACACAATTACAAACAGTGACGTTCGAGTTATCATGCAAACGGTTAGCAGCAACACCCCGTGCAGTTGACCCGGTGGACGAATCACGCTTCACCTGGCCTCCCATGCTGCGGGACAGTCGCAGCTATGCATGCTGCTCGAATTCTACAAAGCTGCGGTCGGTAACATACAGGACATGGATGAACGTATGTGATTGCATCATGCTGCCATCAACAACCACAACTTGAGGTATGTGTGGGAGGAGGGTTCGTACGAGGTTTGTCTGCCGACCTTTGCAGATCTGAACTGAAACCAACACGCAGGCCACATCTAGGAGCTTCGACGCATCGAACGCTCTTTTCATCGAATGACAGCGGCTTTGCCAGTTTCAAGTCGATGTGCCTGCACAAGTCCGGACTTTCGGGATCCCTAAAACACGCTGACGGAGTTGGGAAGCAAGAGAGATATACATTGAAGGGAAGAGTCGGCATCAGGGACCTGCGGGCCTTCGAGCCTGCTCGTGTTCAGCAGAAGAAGCTAGGTTTCGTGTACAGTTTCGATGCAGTTGCCATTCCAAGCTACTGCATGTGCTTCTCCCTACCTGGTTGACTTGGTCCCAGTAGGGGCGGAGAACAACCACTTCACAATGACATGTGCAGACGGCACATTGCACAGGAACGACCCACCTTCAGGCAGCTCAATCATCGTCGTCCTCCTCTTCCTCGTCCTTTTCCATCTCAATCCCAAGCTTCTCGCAGATCTTGATCTGAAACTCACCTGAGAGCAGGCAAAACGCAAAGCCAGGGGCTTGGCTAGCGGGGGCTGGGCTCCGAAAGGTCCCAGGCACGCGTCTCCATCATAAAAGCAGCAAGGTCAATGCCTTTGGCAGTGCCCTTCAGCCTATCGACTCCTGCGACCAACTCGTCCTTGGAGACGGGCTTAGGCATGCTGACGCAGCAGAAAGCACTTACTGCGACCACGAGAAGCTGATCTGCAGACCCGAGCTGCAGCAGTTAATTCTGCGTCTCCGTCGTCAAGCAGCCTCCACAGAACGTCTGGATCTCGCACTGGCAGCTCTTGTGCTGCCAACCACATCCTGCCAGCACAAGAGTGACAGGTACACGATCTCCCGCCCTCTGACCCCCAGGCCCGTCCTGATGTCCGGGCTATTCATGATCTCTCTGAACTCATCTTGGTCCTCAGCACGAGCATGTGGACATGACCATGCTGTAAGATTCCGGCAGAGGGCATTTTGATGTTGGGGGCAAAGCTTGCGTTGCTGGTGGCACACCTTATACTCTGCTGCCGCTCGAGTGTCCAACACGCCGTCACCAGATTCGTCCGCAGCTGCAAACAAGGTCCGCATCTTTTTTGTATGCAGCATTCGATCACGCTCCTGTAGCTGATGCATTTCAGCTGAAGTGGTGAAGAGGTCAGGAAGACTTTTGGCACGACAGCTGGCATTAGGCGACTGGAACCTGGGTTTCCACTCAGAAATGCAGGGGATCCCACCTTCTGGCGCATCATGAGCTTGTCATCGGAGGCGGCCACTTTGAACGTTTCTTGCATGAACACGGCATTGATGATGCCAACCGCCGCAAAGCCGATGATGAGCTTATATGCTACGGAGAAGATGCCGTAGTACTCCTGGGATGCTGAGGCTGCACGAAAGAAAAGTCTGCCGAAGCAGCAGCATCATGATGTCCAAGAGTCTGTTACGTTCTCCTGCAGGATGCGTGCTGCCGTCGGCCAATTCCTTAGAACTTGTCAGTGGGCAAGCTCTGATTCCGGTTCTGCTCTGCTTTGCCTGAGTGTGCTATTTAAACTTTGAACTTTTCATCACGGAGGTACCGCACGAAGGAGATGGCCACCAATCACCAGCCATTAACGGAAACTAACCGGTCACTGACGACTGGGAAACATAGACAAATCTGGCTAGAAGTGTGTCTGTTGGTGTCTTTCCGAGCAGCGCCAGAGTGAGTTCAAACATGGTGAACATCGCACGCCCCGCTGTTCCGAAATATTCGAACACCTGGTGCTGCTCGTTCACCTCTCACAGGGTAGCAGGTCTACAGTGAGGCGACGTGTGCGGAGCCTCTGTAAATGTGCAGAAAGACTGGGTTGCGTGTGACGTGCGGCGAAGTGGCAGGTTTCGTCTTATCTTTGAAGTAGCTGTCCAATGCTTGATTAAGGGTGAACGCAATGAGAGTCTGCACCACCATCAGCAGCCTCATGGAAGGGGCAAAGTCCTATGGAGACATCCGGTGCGCTGACCAAGCCGAGGCACACAAACGACCAAAAAAGCACTGTGACGCTTCCTTGCATAGCTGTCGTCATGATATACCTGGGCCGCAGTCGGTTGCACTCGACCTTGCTTTGGAGTTCTCTGCGGCCGAAGTACAAGGCATCAAAGCCTTGAATAGTCTTTACCAACCTCAAGAGACGCAGCACTCGCCCCATTCGGAGCACTCCTCAGCTTCTCTCGCTCCGTGAGGCCAGGCTCTACATGACAACATGGCATTGCTCCGAAGACTACCATATCCCAGGCACCCTGGCAGGAACCTAAACCATCCTAAACCTCTGAACCTCTACCCCAACCTGTATGGCATCCAATACCAAAAAAAACCTTCTAGTAGCCCTATGCAGTAACCCCCTAAGGCCAAGCCAGCGTCTGAGAAGGCCCTGATCCAGCTGCGCGTAGGCGCTCAAGGTCTTCTCCACCAGCCAAAACATGACCAAGGACGTGTCAAACCAATTCCATGGGTCCTGGTGGGAACTGAAAAGACATACGTTTGCCTTTGTGTTGGGTTTCGACTCGCACGCTCGCACGAAGCAGGCGCGGATCCCAGCAACGGTCGGCAGACGCGAGAAAAGACGGAACTGCAACCGATGGCAACTCTCTTAACAACGAGAGCCTGAAGTTCACAGAAGATGTAAACTTAAACCTAAACCGTGACTCGCACCATCATCTGTGAAGCGTTTCAACTCTCACTACTTGGGCAACCCGGGCGAGGTAGGGTTCAAGCAACGGTGCGGGTTTTCTACGAAAACTGTCATCATGTGTTGAATACGGGACGATCTGCGCCTCAATGATGGAGGGTCTGACGTGTGAAGGTTTTCTCCGCTTTTTCTTGCATCCCTGGCTTCCCACCCAAGCCCCACTAGAACTCGAGCAGGGCTCCTTGATAAATCCGCATTTAAGGCCGCTGATCTTGATGATGATCTCTAGGAAGTAGATCACACCGAAAACCCAATCCTGATCTCACCGTGCTTGAGCCAGGATGATGGCCACAGGGGCTCGAATCTCTGCTGGACTCAGGCCGAGGCCAACATGAAAAAGCCGAGATCTGCTAGAGGCCACTCTTCACCTCAGATACAGACAAAACAAAAAGCCGAGCTTCCAGTCGGGTGCTCCCACCGCATTATCGAGGAGCTTGCGCTGATAGCTTGGAAGCTTTCAGTAAACCACACCGCACCACATCAGGTCAGGCTCGTCCAGGAGGCCGTCCCTGCCTTAAAGCCCCTTCACCCTGTCCCCTTCAAACCCTCAACCTCAAACCCGTGCCAAATCATTGCAGTCCCAGGTCTGGCTGGCAGGGTGAAGCGCGGATAGCCCAGGTCATAGCCTGGAGAAGGAATCCGGAGTTCGACTTCCGAAACCAAGGATGAGCTGAGTCAACGAAGCCAGCAGGCGATCTATACACGCATATATGCGCACACACATACATGTTTTGCACCGTAGGTGAAGGTGTGTGTATGTGTTTGTGTGTGTGTGTGCATGTGCATATAGCATAATATTATATATTTTTGTAATCATTGAACATGTGTATATTATGTATATAAACATAATATTTGTAAAATATATGTACATACAGATCGGCAAGGTGCAGACTCTGTGCTCTTTGCCAGCCAAGCTTGTTTCACCTCTCTGTACAAGGTGATGCGACGTAGCATGCAAGCGGTCCTACTAGAGTCTCATCTCGTAATGTAAAGATGGGCCACGACTGTACAACGTGGGTCAACACTACATAAACGCACGCAATCTTCTAATCAATACTTCGTTCGTGCCTTCATTCTCGTTGGCACTGACTTTTGTATCATTTGCTTGCTAAGTTTCTGAAGGCAAACTTGACGTTCAGTTTCGGTCCGCATCTGGCTCAATTCCCGCCTGTGCTGGTAAACTTCCTCTTCACCGAAATTGTGCGCCGCTACCTGCATGAGTGACTCTATGGAGGTGTTGATGCGGGTCAATTCAATCCAGTGCCCCATGCTGGTGACGAGCTGGCCTCCCGACGGATACGTGAGTGTCACATGACCCGCAACTCCGCGCTTGCTGGAACCATTGTGCTCGATTTCGCATTTCATGGCTTCTGGAACGCTCCCGCCGCCGGACCAACTGCTGACGACTGTGAGCACTTGCAACTGATACGCATCTGTTTGTGGCCTTTTCGGGTTGATCGTGTAGACAATGGTGTCACTCATTGCAGATACGACAGCCCGTCCATCGGTTGCGCAGAGCTCCCCGACGACTTGAAGCTGCTGGGGAACTTCGTCATTCTTCAAGTGCTCCGGGAAGAAGTCTAGCTGGAATTGGTGATCGCACGAACACGGAAGCTTCACGAAAGGGTTTGCACCCAACAGCTCCTCCGACCACTCAGACACCAAAGCTTTGAGACTAAAGTCCGAGACCATGACCGTGAAGCCTCTTTGCAACGCATGGCCGATCAGTTGCATAGTCGCACTTGCTCCAACTTGTCCTCGGCGTCGGCCTCGGCCGAAGCCATGCGGACCACAGGCCCCGCAGCATTCCCAATTGAAGGTTACGCTGTCTGCTGCTACGCTGTTGATGTCATCAAGTAACTCCCTCCAGCCAAGCTCTGCGTGTTCTGCAGCCGGCCCACCACAAAGAAGATCCAGAAGCTTGGCGGCATCGTGCAAGCTTACAGCATAGGTGCTGACCCGCTCACCAGGGACCGTCTCGGGCTTCACTTCCCGAAAGTTCTCATCATACGAGCAGTCTGCAGAGATAGTCACGACCACTGCAACAAGCTTGTCCTGGAGATTCTCTGCCTCGTTGAACAGCTTCTGCAGCTCTGATGCTTGGGCCTCGGGTTCAGGTTCAAACGGCAGCTCGGAAGAGTACTCAGCTGCCGATCCTTCAGACATGAAGTCCTCCGCAGCCGTGCTTGACGTGAACGTTGTGCTTGTTGTCTGAAACGGCTTTGTCTTCGTCTTCGTAGTCTTCGTCTTTTTCGACCCGATGAGACCGAAGCAGGACATGTGTCGGAAGTTTGGGAAGGCGGAAGCTCCGGGACGATAAAAGTCGGTGCCGAAGGCTTTGTGCTTGAGCCGTTGCGGTTACGTAGTGGGTGTCCGAGCACCGCCACAGATGAACACAGGACCCGGAACATGCAAAGAACAAAACAAGTGCCAACACTAATGCCGCATGCCTCTTTGGAGACCAAGATATTGGGATTCGAAGGCCATCCTTGTGCAGATTGAGTGCAGGTGCAGCGCCCACTGCAAGCTGAGAGCTCCAACAAGATCCAGAGAAAGTGATGCGACCTGTGCCATCTAATTGCGGCATAGCGACACCAATGTGTTCAGCATGATGACCGCGCAAATAAAGGCATCAAATTGTGTGGTTTTCACTATCCGTCCTGCAACAACAAACGCCAACAAACATGGAACCTGATTTCCAGCGCAGTGTGGCACAGTCTCCGGGAAGGCTCTCGAGATATCCACCAACCTCTGCTGTCCTGGATGCCAAAAAGGCATTTTGAGCTGATCCAAGAAGTCATCAGCCCTCCGGAAGAGCTGCGCGCCGCCAGCACGGCCTTGAGTTCTGAGAGGCGCGGATACGTAAGCGCTTGAGTGAAAACTTGCCACCAAGGACTCCGACTGCTGCTACAAGGCTACTGATGCTGATAAAACTGAGAGCCGGGAACCTCTTCTAAATGCATCCTGGTCCATGCAGTCTACCAGGAACTCCATTTTACATCCACCAGGATGTCCAATGCAGACTGAGGGGCTTGCACCCATGCTTTGACTCGGTCGGCCACTCACAGTTGGCGACTTGCTGCCACTGTATCCGGAATTTGCGATAGAGTCCTTCGAGGCCTGAGTGGCCTTAGGCGCAGCAAGTGTTGAGCGATGTTTGCTACACGCAGAGACACAACCACACAGACAAACAGAACAACAGCAGCATTAACAACCAGCGACAACAACAACCAGCGACAGCCTGACAGCAGCAACAACAACCCGCAACGACAGCAACAACCACTACAGTACTACTACGACGACGACTGCTACTGCTACGGCTACTGCACCAACACCAACACCGCCAGCACCAGCAACAGCAGCAACCACCACCAACAACAAGGTACACCCGTGCACTGCGTACCCATTACCCCCCCCCCCCCGCCCCGACCAACAACAACAATCGCTGCCAAGAGGGAGTGCTCTGTGCACGAAGGCAGCAGTGGTCCCTTGGTGGCACCAACAACAACAGCAGCAACAATCACCACCAACAAAAAATCAGCGAAACCTCTTGACCTCTCAGTGCTGACAGTTTGCTAGTAGGTCGTCATCCTCGTCGTCGAGTTTCAATACGTCCGGCTTTGCACCCATCCTGTTCCCAAAAGCAGACTGGCCCAGCTCCCCACACGCAACTTGCACTTCCTCTGCCTGCTGCGACCACCAGCCCGGGGGATCTCGAGGCTCATGATCTCGGTAGACTTGGCGCCTCCCGTTGCAGTCACTACCGCCGCTAGCCGCTACTCTTGTGTAACTGTATATCGGAGCAGTCACCAAGGCCAAAGGGCAAATCAGGGTTCCGGATTCTACGTCTTCAAAAGCCCTTCGTGTCAAGGCCTTGCACTGGATCTGACTCGGAGAAGTTGTTGGGCAGCTGATTCGGCAGCGGTGGGAAAGGAGGCAATGGAGGAGCCTGTGGCTCTACCTCAAGGAGTCGCAGCTGCCGTGTGCAGCTCTGCAGTTGGCGAGGCAGGGACAAGTAGCGGTCTGAACCAGTCTGAACAACCGACCCAAGGACCGAAGTGCGAAGCAAGAAAGCAGCATGTAAACGTGCTCCAAGCCCTCTGTCGTGCGTGGGAACACAGATTCTCGTCAAGTCGCAAGTAGGGAACAGTAGTTAGGAGCTGAATGGAAACACAATCGGGAAAAGTGCGCCCTTCCAGTGCCAAGTCCAAGCTACTGGATCCATGGCACGCTCTCTGCCTGAGGCACGGCGCGGCACAGAACAGATGCGAAACTCTCTGGACACTGCTCCATTCCGAGCTAGATGCAACCGGGCTGCTGCTTCCTCTGCTGTTCAATCGAGTTGAGACCTGTGCCGCCGGCACCCGAAGTGGTGTCGCCTCGTCAGCCGCACACATTGAAGAAGCGTGTCAAACTTAGTGAGCGCACGGTAAGCTGCGCACGTCGGTTCCAGAGCTGCTTCTGTTTGTGGGGCTGACGACATCCTCGGCACAGCATCGGCGCGCAAGAGAGGCGCGCCGCAGCTGCAGCACCCAACAGCCTACTCGGAGGCACGTGGAGAATCTCTGTCGGGTGTCCAGCTTGCCAAGAAGTTGTTGCATCATCCACTGCTGCCGGACTTGCAGTGCCTTGAAAAGCACAAGGACTACAATCAGTTGGCAGGTGGCAGAGCTGAAGGGTTTGGCGCAGTAACCTCAAGAGAAACACGCGGAGACACGGAGAGTTCGGCTCTTGGCAAACAGCCCTCTAGCTTGCAACGGTCACAACACGAAGCAAACTGCTCCATTCTTGCAGTGCTCTCGAGATCCGACTCCAGCCTGTGCTACTGCGATCTGCTGCTCTCGGAATGCTTCCTGGAGCCAGCCTGAATCAATCGATCGGGGAGGATCTCCGGCCACATGCGCGGCTCAGGGTTTAGGGCGGCTCCCACTGCTCAGCACTAGTACAGGGCACACTCTGCGAACGGGCTCCTGGGCTTCCCAAGTGGCCTTCCAAGGTCTCGGTGGACTTCGGGCTCAAGAAACCACCAGAAAAAAACTCCGAGGAGCCACCTTAGCAAACCGTAAGCCGCCACTTGTAAAGGATGCAAGATGAAAACTCCGCATCTCAAGCTAAGATCGACTGAGCCTTTTGCCCAATTTGTCGCCTTTGTCGAAGAGCTTCGTTGGAGTATGTACCAGATCGGGTTGCTCCATGTGAAATCGTTGGGAACAAAGCTGTCTCAAGGTATATACCTGAAGCAGGAGCTCTAACTTGATAATCATTTGGTCAGGGCATTCCTGCCAGACTTTTGACTTGCACCCGGGGGCCTTGGCCGTCTTTCCCTTCTTGCTGATCAAGGCAGGCTCCGAGCTCTGGTTAACCTTCGGCAGTTGCCGGGAAAAGAAACCTGACCTAGAACACCAGTAGGGGTACAGGAAGCGACTCCCAAAAAAGCAAGAACTCGTGTCATGGTTTGGGCCTCGGATCTCGAGACCCCCTAAGCTTCTGCCGAGTTGCACTCATTGTAACGAAGGGCGAAGGCCACGCCTGGCTTCCAGTCCATCAACCCCGCATCTTGGAAAACGGACACATCCAACAAGGATTAGGCCCTTCGCACCGGCCTGTGGGAAACGCGGCAGCACCGGGTATCTTGAGATGGACGAACCAGATATCGAAAATTTGTGCAGCAGGTCTCTCTTTCGAGCTGGTCAGGATGGTAGTAGCCGGGAGTTGCACCCTAAACCTGGAACCTGCCGTTTCAGGTTCTCGTTTCCACTCAGGACCTGCTCGAAAAACCTGCTCCAGACTTGGCACAGAGGTGAAACTGGAGCAGCTTGAGCCGACAAGCCGAGTCCACTGACTGGCTGCAGCTTGCTCTTGAGCCGACAATCAGCGGCATCAAAGCAAGCTTCCAAAGAGGCCCGCGGCCCTGGGGCCGATGGCCCCTGGCCGGCTCTCTTCCCTTGCATAAAAAGCATCCCGCAACTTTTTGCGCTCTGATCTCTTCGTCTGTTCCCACTGCTGGAAGCAGCGAGTCTGAAGTAGCCGGCTGCACAGACTGGCGGTGAAACGACGGCAGCATGCAATAGCAAGCTTGTCATTCCTCTTACAACGAATCCATCTGCAGTGATAGGATGTTCGATCTTCGGAAAGTGCTCAGAGCAACAAGCAAGCGGGTAGTTTGGAACAAGCCTGCTGCACTCTACGAATTGAAGTCGGCACTGAATTCAATGATGTTCAACGAACTTCGTAGTCCGTGTGGTTTCCAACTGGAACCAAGCTGCCCCTGCTTCCCAAAGAACAAGGACCACAGCGACAGCGAAGGCAAAAGCTAGCAAAAAGCTTCAAAAATTGCCTAGCGGTCTAGTTAACATGTGTGAGTGAAGAACACCAGGGGCATAACGACTACCCTATGCGTCTCGCAGGCAGCATTTTAAAGCTGCTCTGGACTGTAGAAGCTTTGTCGAAAGTACTCACTCACAGTCGCATGAAGAGCTGCACTCAATGTGAGGATACAAAAGTCCGATTCGGCTGCAATTGCTGACGCCTGCATGTGACTGCGGAGAGCTATGTAGTAAGATCTAGGAAAACATGTGACCCTTTCTGAAGGCATCTTCGCAGGGCCTCGGCCAGTCTGAAGCATCGAGATGCTTCCCAGCTTTGGGGGTACTAGTTGCCAGTAACATACAGGAAGCAGCTCTAGTTAACCAGGGGCCCCAGGAAGAGTGCCCTGGATGCAGTGCTTCTTTCGAGCCTTTCAGGTCGCTCTTCCAGAAGCACCAGCGAAAAATGGAACCACTACGGGCTTGGGATCGCTGTTTCTGCGACGCATCTATAGTTCAGAGGACGACTACAAGTGCCACCCAAAGTTATCCGATAGTCTCCTAGCATAAGCCGCACGTCTAAATTGTAGGCCTGAGGATTGAATAAGCAGCATACATCATTGCTAGATGCAGCTGTCCACCACAGAAATGGGCCAACACTCCACAGTCTTGTTCTGGCATGGTCAAAAAGGGGCTGCCAGAGCAGGTGGTCTGCTCAATGGCACCCAGGTTCGCCGACAATCGCCACGTTCGGATTCCACTCGGAGCTCACCCTACCCATCCTCCTCATCCTCATCCTCACTTTCACTCTTTATCGGGTAGTCCAGCGTTAAGTCCAATTTTTCCGCGACTTTGGAGGCAAAGTCGCCTGAGCGTTCAACAGGTGGATTCGCAAAGAACTTGGCTGCATGGGCAACAGAGGTGGGGGCAGGCGCAATCTGTGCTACGCATTTCTGCGTCAAAGTCTCGATACTCGGCTATGAACGCAGCAAGGTCAATGCCTTTGGCAGTTCCTTTCAGGCGCTCGACGCCTTTGACTAGCTCTTCCTCAGGCAGAAACAAATGCGCAACCAACAGGGTCGTGCATGGATCACAGGTGTTTGCCCACACACACACACAAAAGCAAAGACACAGCATGCTTCGACGCTTGAACCCACGCTCGCTTATTTCAGGCAGCAAACCGCGGTGAGCTCGGCATCTCCATCATCAAGCAAACTGAACAACATATTTGGGTCCTGAGCCGCAGAGCTGAAAGGCCAATGCAAAGTCCCATCTGTCACCAGAGTGGAGGGAACGGAATGCCGGAAGAAAAATGACGAAAGTCCGCAAGCACAGGGATTGAGGCGCCAAGATGCACGAACGGGAAGCTCTTGAGCCGCCAACCAGGTCCTGAAGGCTCTTACTAAGGAACTTAAGCAATCTCGGTCGCCATGGCAAGGATCTACACTAGATGACATGGTGTGCTTGTTGTGGCAACCTCAAGTAAGTTCCTCTTTGGACTTTACGGGCCGCAGATGCGGCTGCGGCGGTCCCTTGTGAATAGAGCAAGCTATGCAGCTATGAAGGATCTGAGACATGTAAGATCATGTAAGGCGAGGCCATAGCAAAATGCACTGGTTCCCAGGACAGCTGAGCTTCAGGTCAAACTGTGTAAACAAGAGTAACTAGAGAACAGAAAGAACCGGGCCCCAACTGATGGAAGCCCTGGACATATGCAGTTTCACCCATGTGCCGCACTCAGCAGCGTTCGTCGGCGCGAGTCCTGACTTCCGGGATGTTCATAATTTCGCAGAACTCTTCTCGGTCCTGAGATGGATTCGACAGGAGGCAGGCCTCTAATGCTGTTAACAAGCGGCGCTCTAGAGTCGCAGCAAGGTCGACATGAAGCGAGTCAATGCAGCCAGGAGACGATGAAGCCGTCTCCGGACTCATCAGCCGCTGCGAAAAGAGTTCTCATCTTTTTGGTGTGTAGATTACGATCTCGCTCCTTCACATGCAACAACGCAGTCTGCTTTCCATTTTCAGTCTGCCGCGTGTCTGTTGCAACTAGCGTCGCCTAGCATGGCTGTCCGGGTTTGAGCCGCCGCCACAGGTCTTGCTGACTCTTTGGCCCGTCGCGCTCAAGCCATTGCCATGCAGACTCCAGCCGATGCTCACATTCTCTTGACTGACTGCCAGGTGTTTCGACCTCTGCCGCACCGGGGCCCCCAAAACACGTAGGCGAGGTGGTGGGTAGAGCGGAAAGTCAACGGCCCAACAAACTCGCAAAACTTGAGTTGACGGGCAAGCAAACGATCCAGCAAGCAGTTCGCCGCACTTTTCGTTTGCTGTGGCTGCTGGCCGGATTGAAGCTTGGATGACGGTAGCGCTGAATCCCCTACCATACTCGCAAGGCTGCCTTGCGGGGTGTTCGAGAGGAGCCTTGCCCACCAGACATCAGTCAATGCACACGGGGTGGGAGCACCCCTGACGCGTGCCTCTAAGCAGTAATATTGATTTCCTAGACACGAAGGACCTGAAAATTGCAGACACAGTAACATTGCCATGAAAGACAGCCTCCGCAAACTCCTGAAGACCTAGCTTTCGTTCCCCGCACCGATGAGCCGACTTGTGTCTTGTGTAAATGTGCACCGCTGAGATGGTTTCGAGGTCACAAGGGAATTAGGTTACCAGATCTAGTTTCAATGTTTGGCTTCTCCTTCTGACGCATCATCAACTTGTCATCTGATGCTGCCACTTTGAAGGTCTCTTGCCTTGGCCAGCAAGCAGAAGCATAACGCTCAACTCTTTCACGTAAGTTCACTCACGGTAGGCGCCCCCGAAGGCTTGAGTACAGCATCAGCGCTGTTCGAAAGACTTCATCGAAACCCAAAACACAGGAGGTACAGCCACCAAATTCAAGCTGCATGAAGACACCATTGATGATTCCAACCGCCGCAAAGCCGACGATCAGCTTGTAAGCAACCGAGAAAATAGAGTACCACTCCTGCATGTTGCACTCCACGCACTCTTTTGCAGCACTGTGCTCACCTCCGATTTAGAAGCCCGCGTGCTGTCGAGCAGCTGTGACATTCTCCTGCAATATTCGGGCAGCTGTTGGCCAGTTCCTCAGTGTGAATACTGTGGAGTGATTGGTGATTGCGTTCAACAAGAACAACAGCTCCAGTCTCCAACTCTCGGGCAAGCTACGCCAGGGTCAGTTCAAACATGGTGAGCATGACCCGTGCAGTCGTCCCAAAGTACTCGAAAACTTCCAGCTTCTCGGATGCCTCAAAGATTCTTATCTGGCCGCCGAGGCTGCTGTGAGTTTAACATCAGAGGGAGGGCGAAGCCACTTGACTGTTGATGCTACACTTGCATTAAGTGCCACCACAGAAACAGGCTTGCTGTCATCCGTGAAATAAACCTCCAAAGACTCGTTCAGGAAGAACGCGATCATCACTTGCACTGTGGTCAGCAACCTGACGCGATTTCATCGGCAAGCGGCACAAAAGTCTCCGAACCTTGCCCTCGAGGCTGAATCTTTAACGTATGTTCGTCCATCCGAGAGACATGAAGGACCAAAACAAACATGTTGCGCTTCCCTGCATGGCAGTCGTCATGATATACAGCGCGTCGAAGCCTGGCACGGACGGAAAAAACGCAGCCTTGCCCTGCTTGAGAAGAGCCCTGGACTGCCACCTTGAATTGTCTTTACTAATCGAATGAGCCGAAGCAGTCGTGCCATTCGCATCATTCCTCGGTTCGCAGCGGTGCCTCCTCTTGTCTGGCAGTGAACGGGCAAAGCAACATTGCACTGGCAAGCTTCGGAGAATTGCAGGCTCCAGCGCAACAACGGACTGGAGCGCGACTTCTACTAGCCACATGAGCACAATGGCCCCATCGAACCAATTCCACCATTCCTGCGCTGCAAGAACACGATGTTCAGTGCGGAGGGCAGTGGGGCATCTGCATGGAAACCAGGCACTGTCTGAAAGCAATACAAGTACCAGCTGATGCCAAGTGTCCAGGAAGAAGCGCTTCTTGAAACCAATCAGCTTGACAATCATCTCTATGCAATACGTGATGCCGAATACCCAGTCCTTGGCACGGAAAGTTTCGAAAGATGCAAACACACGACTGCATTTAGCCCTCGCGCACTGCTTGTTCGACGGTCAGCAAGATTGACATGCGGCGAACAAGTGCAGACGACACATCACATGCCGCGCGCTCACCAAGATAATCTGAAGTTCTCCTCCTCCGTCCAGTGTTTCTATTCCAGAGACGTTTGGATGCTGCGCGGCACCGGGGTTCGGATAATTCGGCAATTGCCTGTGCCTCTTGCTGATTTTCGTCTATCACTCACGAAACCCCCGCTGCCGCAATGCTCCTTGCCTCTTTAGCAGTGCTAGGATGTTGATAGCTTCAGTCTTCATTGCGCAGTGCTGCTCTTCATGATCGTTGTTGCAGCCTCCGGTCGTTTCGTCCATCGTGTGAAATCGTTCGGCAGGCACCCCTCTGCCCCCTTGCTTTGTCACTGAAGTCTTCGTCACAGTTCGTCACAGTGGAAAGCCATTGCCGACATCCCTTCATGGTGATACGGCTTAACCAAGACATGTTGTCGGCTTCGGCGCAAAAATACTATCACGGCGATGCTCACACACCCACACCCCTGAGAGCGTGCGATCTTCAGCATTCAATGTAAGAGGGACTGTAGCAGCTGCAGCATGCCTTCTTTCAGGTGATTTTCCGCATCAACTTTCGGCCGATTGAACACACCAGGCACCACCCAGTCATCAAGCATTATTCATCTTGGAAGGGGTCCAGGTCGTTGCCACACCTTCTTGGGGTTCCGCGCGCCCCTGAATATTCCGACTATTCTCTTTTGCAGGTCTCATTCTCTTGGCCTTCTGCGGACTTAAGACGCAAAAAGCCACTGATTTCCGTCCATGGGCGCTTTATCAAGGGTGCTGCTGGCAGAACCGAGAAAAAAAAAGCTCTTTCCCGGTTTTTGCGGCGTCGGGGCAGCTCCTTCTCGCCCTTCTTCCCCTGATGCTCTCTCTCTGTCTCTCTCTCGAACATGATGGACGGTCAAACCATCAAGCCCAACCTATACCTTGTTGGAACAGGTGAGGGAGAGCGAAGAGCGACCATAATACATCAATAGGCTAAGGCTATATAGTGTACAATAACGGCATCGACGAATCTACGCTCTCATGGACAATTGGCTCCCTTGAAAGCATTGGTTCCCAGTAAGTTCCGTCAGACAACGACATTCAGGGACAAAGAAAGGTCATTTGGGAACCTGAGTACATCCTGCACCTTTTGCAAGTCTGTCTTGCCACATTGTCGAAAGTGCAAGACAAGTGAAGGTTCTTGTGGGCATATGCATATGATTTTTTTGTGTCAGTTGCATCGGCTTCTTGAGTCATCTATCTTGACTGGGGTGATGACAGTTGCCAGGGACGCTCTTTTCTTTCACCAGGGCTAGGGTGTCGGGGCTTTACCCCCTTTTTTGACACTGGGCTTGCTGGCTGCCAGAATATATGACCCTCCGACGTGTTGCCAAGGATCGCGTAAAGCCCCCTACAAAGGGGACGCTCTCTCTCTCTCTCTCTCTCTCTCTCTCCCTCCCTCCCTCCGTATCTCTGTCTGTCCACTCTCTGGATCTCTGTGGATTGCTTATGATGCAGACAAGCCCACCAAGAATGTGAAAATCACCGGTGCTTGCGGCCAGTATTCACCTGCAGCGGCTTTCTCTTCACCCATGCAACAAACCTCGCAAACACAAGACAAAGAACCACCGTGGAAAATCACGGCACTTGGCTGCTCCAAGATACTAGCATCGTAGTTGAAATGTGGAGCACCCAATACGTAGCCACGACGAAGGCCATTGTATTGCATCTGTAGCGCCATCCTCCGCCGCACAGCATGTGGGGCGGGCAAAGGGCAGTCAACTGCCCAGGCAGTGGCTTCGTGCACACACCGCTGGGTATGATTGTTGGAAGACGAACCGCACTCTAACCATGTGCCCGGTCCGAGTTCAGAACAGCTGGCGATCACATGGATTCTGAAACTAGCTGGGCCGTGAAGCCTACGCCGTGCACCCGTTGGCAATGGTTACAAACTCGGCTATCTAGTGGCCTCATCACACTAGACAAGGATATAAAGCATGTCGCATGCAGAAACAGCAGTGTCCGCCACATCCATAAATATGGTGCAAAGACAGCGTGTGCATGTCTTGACCAGCAAGCTGGGCAGGTCAAGCTGAAGAACACAAAACTATCTTCACGACTCCAAAACCAAGCCGGCTAAAGTAAAGTCCTTCAACTTTTGGCGGTGAGTCGTGTGCACACCTTTAGTTACCCACTACGATTCTGAATAGCTGCGCAGTAATTGACACGTTGACGAGAGGAATGCAGCCGAGCATCACGACGGTGTTCGCTAAAATGACGCCGCAGAAGAGTGCATCGAACTGCGTCGTGTGCACGTACCGTCCTGAAAGAAGGTGCTGGCTAAGCAGAGCACCGAGTAGAGGAACGGTGATTGTCCTGGATGCCAAAAAGGAAGCTCTTTGAGGCCCTCCAAGAGGCTGTTCTTCCGAAGATGAGGAATGGTCTGGGTCATGCCTTGAAAGGCTACGTCCGGGCAAGACTGCAACAGAGGACGTGACGGTCTGCCATGAAGTGCTGCCATGGTGCGGCTGCTTGCAACACTAACAGCTCCCCTGCTCTTCGCATCCCCATGTGTATCTGATCTGCCGAGCGATCCCGCCTCAGAGCCCGGTGGAAAGCAGAACACTTCATAAAAAATTCGTTAGAGGTGTAAAGCGGGGGGACCTGCCAACCGTTGCAGCCAAGTTTCGGACTTCGTTCTTCTTAGATCCGGCTCACTGAAGGCTATGGATCTTTCTGGTGGTGGCAGGCTCGATGTGATCACCACCGGCATGTCCTGATGCTGGCGTGAAAAAACTGTATCTTCCTGAAACGCTTGCCAATGATCATGTGAGAGCAGGTCTTGCTGCTTTTGAGTCGCCTCCGGACCAACCGACCTTGCGTCAGTGTCGTCCGTGACAGAAACCTCGGACATCGTTGATTGCTGGCTGGCTGTCATGAGCAACTCGCAGGCGCACGAACTAATGGTCAAGAGGCCTTTTTTGAACTGAGTCCTGTCTCGGGGTCCTTCGCTCCAGCCGCCCAATCTTCGCGCACCACTAAGACCTTGGCATTGAGGCTGAACCGAAGCATCAACAGAGGCCACGCCAAGTCAACATGCTGTTCTCTGGCTGGCTGCCCTGCTGCAACCTGCATGCGCTGGCTGATTTTCGGCCCTGACCGGGATTTTATCTGCAGACTGAGATACTCCCGGCAAATGCAGCTGCGACTCTGGGCCTCAGAAAATATGAAGCTCTCCGAAAACATGGACCGGATCTTCCGAGTCTGCGCACGCGCAGGTGCCCCAACTCATCGCTGAGCATATCATCGGCAATGCCAGCGAGCCGCCTTTCTGATGCGGTACTGGCGTCACGCGTAAAGGCTTGGGCATGTCGCTCGGCGCTGCAGGCTTTCCCATGCTGTCCTGCAGTAGACAAAGGCCAATACAACCCAGATCTCAACCGAGCCCTTCTCCTCCTGTGGGATCAGATGTTTCTTCAGTTCTTCTAATGGCGCTTCAGTCTCGACGGCTTCTCTGTCAGCAGATCCGACATGGCATAAACGAAAGTAATATCGGCCAAGTGTCGAGCTTGAGATTGACCTGGCTAAGGATCTCAATGTGCCGCCCCTTGATGACCTGTGCCAAAACAGCAGCATGATACCAAGAAGCCAGGGAGCATCTACGAACCGTCCTGCTGGAGGCGTACAGTATGTGTTTCTCTGACCGCTGTGTGCACACCTCATGCACCACCTCGCGCTCCGATTCCAACACGCCAGCGAGCCAGCCTTCATCCAGACGGCATAAGGGGATTCCAAAGACTTACAGAGAGAGGAAATACTGTAACCGTGGGTCTGTAGTTCTGCGACGGGCGGCTTCGGAAGTCCTCGTTCGAAGGCGGCACTGCGACTGGCGGGCCCGGCGCCGGCACTGGCGCCGGCGGTCTTCGATAAGCTGCCAGCTCGGCCGAGGCACTGATGCCTCGGATGCGGGGCACACTCGGCTTTCTCGCATAAGCTGGTAGGAAATCTCTTCCGACCACGTAGAACTGACAAGCAGCTTCAGGTCTTGATTGGACGACTACCGGACGACAACCCGTAAAGATGCACGAAGCATCCGACTTTCGATTCCCGTCTTCACGTGACAGAAAAAAGCAAGCGTGTCCCGCATGTGGAGCAGATTTCCTCATGTTGCGCCAAACAAAATCCGCCGCGGGCTCATGATTTGTAAGAAAACCTGTTCCGCGGCAAGTTGTATGTTCTGTTTGCAACAAACTTCCCCAGAAAACAATGGATAGGAGGTTGGTTACCTTAATTAGAGCATTCGCAGCCACTCGAAAGCGCTTGTGGAGGTCGCAGGGCATTGAAGATTCTGCTGCAAACTGCAAACCAACATCTGATATGCGGCAGCGGTAGAATCAGTCTCAGATTGGACACGGAAGCCTTCGAAATAGCTCAGCGACGAAAAGTGATGACCCCGCTGCACCATCCAAGGTGCCACCGTAGTAGTCAATGCTTGGCCGTCTGCTCCCTGAGTAATGGCTGTGCTGACTTTGCTGACTTTGCTGACCTTATGTCCGATTCGGCAGCAGGCATACACGCTGATACAATCTGGCGCGATCTCGCAGGTTGAGGTGCCTCTGGATTTCTCGGGTGTCGTGTCATCACCTGTCTTCTGGGCGCCGTACGCCTATCGTCGAAGGCAGCGCTAGTTGGCCGCGGGTCTACATTCGCACTCCAGCCTTGGATGCTTCTCAGAGGTGCTATCTTCCGATAAGTGTGAGTCTCACACTTCGCTCACCCAGAGAAGCGCAGAGCTTGCGCTGAGGCACGCAGGCTGTCGCGGGAAGACTGTCGGGACTCGATGGTGCTGTGACCTTAGCACGTGATGACATCTCCGGGCTGTAAGCCTGAAAAATCTTGAGACATCGCTTGCCATGTGTTCAGACACGGTCTGTCTGCATCCAAAGCACGTGGATACGAGTCCTCCTCGTTGCGTTCCACGAGCATTTGCCGGCGAGGAATGCCTCAAAGGTCTATGAGTCTGTGGTGCAGGATCTAGGTTCAAGCACCACCTGTCCCTGAAGATTTCAATCAAGGAGGCTGCACAGAACTTGTTTGCAGCATGCAGTGCTGTTCAAGCTCTGGCAAGTGGCTTCGCTCTTCTGCGAATCTGGGCTCTACAGTCAGTCGTTGTGGTGAACCGGAGCGCCCACCTCAAAAACAACATCCCTTGCAACACAGACATGCCCGGTCAATGTGCCGAGAGCTCGGCGTGATGGTGATGAGTCCATGCGGCGCGAGTCTGGTGTTTCTAGACGGCGTGAGTCTGGAGTTTCCAGACCTCTTGGCCGGAAGGTGGAAGTGCTTGGGGTTGGAAGCGGCGATGGATCACCTCACACTTCAGAGATTGCATCTGCCTCGCTTAGCACCAGGTCAACATGAATATGTCTGCCTCGACCAGTTGCAAATCCACATCTGCTAGATATTACGATCTTTGGGTTGACCATGTACGATGCATGATGTTCTTGCAAGGCTTCGGTCATCTGCCAGGAACTACGTGCATGCATGTCCCATGTCAACATCGCAAACACGGTCGTAGTGTTGGGTCCGTGTTTCTGCGAGTATAGAACACAGAGGCTTACACCCTGCCGAAGCATCAAAATGAGTTTCAACTGCTGAAGCTCGTGCACACTTCCTACCCGCACGGCAGAGCAAGAACCGAGTGGCGAGAGCGTCTAGCATCCGCTGCTCTCGGATAGTCTTGGCTGCCATAGCTTCGCCGCGCTGGCATCTCTTTGCTGGCTGTCGGCCAGTCTTTGCTAGTACCATGGGTACGAACATCTCGAAGCTTGAAAACCTTGCAGGGTCTGATCGTAAGCCAGCAAGCCTTTTTCGATATATATAAAAGCCACCTCACGCCGAAAAAAAGCAAGCCAGCAAGCCTTTCCCGGTTTGTTGGGTCTCTCCACATAGACACCGATCGCAGTGCCCCGGACGCTGCCAAAGGCAGCTTCTTCATCCTCGGGGGCCGCGGCAGCGGTTCGGATGCGCTAGGAACGGAGTTCGAAGATTGCCCTAGCGAAACAAAGCACATCTTTCTCATGACGCCAAGAGACCATGGTTGCTGCAACGGCCCAGCAAAGGGCTTTCGAGAGTTGCAGACTGTGGCGGCTCCTTGTTATTTTCTGGTGGTGGTCTGATGCGACTGCTGCTCCGGGATGCAAAAAGATCGGCTCTTGCGCCGTCTTTGTCGTTTACGCTTCTTACAATTGTTCCTGGAGCGACACTGCAAGCTACCTACGGCTTGTATACTCATCGCAGAAAAGCGGCAAAAATTCACACCGCAACTTGAAGAGCTTGCAAGTTCAACCCAAACTTCGTATCATCTCAAGCGTCAGCTGCATCGGGAGCGGACCTCTACTGCCTAACACCTGCGTCGTGGGCACTGCTTTTCGGCGCATGCACTTCGTAGCCTGCACGGCATTTTGCCTGGCTCAGCGAACCGGTTAAACAATTTGATGCCCACGACCGTGTCGGTCTGTACAGATTATGTCGTTTGGGGCATTCTGTGCCTGGGCACAGACATACTCCATCTCGTCCATGATCCTGAGTTTGACATGTCAGGGGCCTTCGAATGGGACTGCATATCGAGCCGAACTCCGGCAACCAAACGACAAAGGCTGCGATCGACCTCGAAATTCGTACACACTAAACTCCCGATTCGTCTGAGCAACTGCAGAAAGGACACATCCTGACCTGAGCTCGGGACTCTTCAGCTTTGAAGCACGCCGTCAAGGCAGGATTGAACAGTCAGGAAGAGTCATTTGCGTTTTGCTGAGGCTCACGCCGTTCGACGAAAAGTAAGCGACATTCTCAGTCCAAACGATGGGTTTAAAGGCCTGTACCACCCGCCTGGCCCCTGCAAGTACCTCCTTCTCCATTCCTTCCACATCGATCTTGATGAGGCGAACGTCATCCACTTGAGGGAGGCCGAGCAGCTCCACACCAGGTGACGGCACCAGTCCGAGAACCTCGTCAAGGCTGAGAACAGTGATGCGCTCGGGTGCAGAATCCCAGTCGTAGAGCTGCATGACCTCAGGGCTAGGCTGAGCCGGAATTTACGTCGCAACACAAACAGCAACAACTGGCGCGCAAGCATTCCTAAAGGTTTTGGCACATGACCTCCTCAGGCTTGGCATCCTGTTGCTGCTGCTGCAGCTTCATCCCGCCAGGAGACGAAAAGAATTTCAGCTGAGGTGGACGTGCCTCAAAGCTTGCTCGCGACGTGCTCAGTCCCACGGGTGGAAGCCACACGTTGCTCAGGCCGTTCATAGCTACGTTGGCCGCTACGACTTGACGAAGCCAACGGAATGGCTCGAAGGAGATGACCTTGCCTGCCATGCCTACACGCTCTGCAAACGGCACCGTGTAGCATCCGAGATTAGCGCCCACGTCGATGACAGTGTCCCCTGGCTGAAGCAACGATTGCATCTCGTAGGATTGCAATGGGTTCATGGAACCATGCTGCTTCATCCAGTGCCCGATGTTGGTGTCATAGAAAGGCAGGAGGAAGGCATGTGGAGCACGAGCCTGCGATTCCGGGATTCGCTGACGTTCGACTACGAGTCTACTTCTTGCGGGTGCAAGCAGCTTAGCGGTTTCAATAAACTTAACACCTGCAGCGTCGACTGTGAAGAATCACCGGGCGATCCGTAGATACTGAATGCCATGCATTCTGCTGTTGAATCGGTGCGGGGTTTCGGGTGGGACAGTGTCGACATTTTCTACATCTGACACGAGCAGTATGCGCCAGGTTCCTGATGAAGTCAGTAGCTTCACAGGCCTTGTTCTTCCGGTCCTCCCAGTTTTGCGAGCCGATTGTACCATGGAGCTGTGATGTCACACCTCGTGGCAGTGGCGTCCACTTGGCTGACCATTGGTTGACGTTTGGCTGATGTCAACGATGCAAACAGATACTAGCAAGTACCTATGCTAACAAAATCCGGTCTCCCACGGTGTTCGCCTGGACGCTCGGCGGCTGCTAAAGCCGCCGCAGCAAGTGGCGATGGGCTACGAGGCGCGCGGGGTGCGGAAGCTAGCATCTCCCGCTCCACATCCTGTGCAAACATTACCAGCACACCAGCCAAAAAAAACATGACAGCACATTTGTTGGATGCGGCGTGTCGCAGCCTGCCTGGGGCAGCAAGATCGGGGGTTCCCGGAAGTGGGTGACAACGAACGTCGGCCAATGCTGCCCCACGACTGTGAGGTCCCGGTCCTGCTCCCCTTCCCAGATCAAGGATCCGCACCTCGCAGAGAGGCTAAGCCGGCTAAGCGTGAGGTTCACGTGCCTGTGGCTCGTGCGCAGTGTCATTGCCAAAGCACGCCGCATACTTTTGCATGATCGCTGGCTCGTGGAACGGGACGCTTTGGTCTGCTCCTCAAGCGTCGGATCCAACATAATTGCGACTCTGCGGCCACGAGCAGCAAAGCGCAGCAGCTAAATTGCTGACTCAGGTCCGTTTGCTTGCAGCAGAAAAGCCTTGCAGCCTTCCTGCGTCAGATTCGCCTTGCACATTTCACTCACATGCGAGCTCATTCCTAGCATCTACGCCACGCAACCATAGTAGAGCAGCAAAGCTTTCAAATCAACAGTAAGGATGAACCTTTGCCCAGCTGCTGGACTGAACTCGCTTTCTGCATTCCATCCAAGCTCCTCTCTGCCTTCGCTCTTACAAGATGAATGAATGTCGCAAGGCTTCCGCTCTGCCATCAGTCGGGTATGACTCCTGCCTGGCAGAATTTCGGCGTGCCACCCATGGCGCTGATCCCAGCGCCGAGGAGCCCGGGATACCAGGTAGCCTAATCAAAGCTACAGCTCGGAAAACGAAACTTGTGTGTATCTATGAAAATTGGCTGATCGGTGGTCTGTGTTTCGATGATGTTTACGCTCCGCGGCGTTTGACTGTCCGGAATCTGTTAGTTTTATCTGATTCCGACCTGTGCTGGTTCCCCGAAATCGCTGGGCCACCGACCGCAAGAAATCGGGCCATTCGAGACTTCTGCGGAGAGGCACCCAAAAATGCGCAAAAAGAAAGCTCTCTTCACTAGACAACCAAAGCGGGCAGAGCTCGCGCTCTTTGCACACAAATACATGTGGATCTCCTCGAAGGTCGAAGGCTGCGTGACCATGTTCTTCTATGGGGCTTATGATCAGGATCCGGCGCCCTGGAACAAGTTGAACAAGTTCGGGGCGGAACCGCCCGTCTTCTGACAGATACAACAGTCAAAGCCTGCCTTACAGCTCCCCTACCGCTTCGTTACAACTCCGCCACACCTCCCTTACAGCTCCATTGCAAACCGTTTGGAGCATGCACAGGGCCCCAGCTTCCAGGATCGCCCGGATCGATTGACGGAGGGGGTCCCCCTCCAAAATCCGTAATGGAGAGGGCCCGAAGCAACCCTTAACCCGGCTCGACTGATCCTGCCATGCCAAGCAGCAGCCATCGCAGCCATCACCCAACGGAGCACAGACCTCTCCACAAGATTTCCCGCAACACGACGCCACAAATGGCTTAGTCTCGCAAGCTTGCTCTTGCTCTATCCTTGCGGACGTATGGCTTTGTGCATATCGGAGTCGCTTCAAAGGGCCTCCCAGGCCGCACAGGTCTCGTTTCGCTGGCAAAGCTCGCGGCAGTCTTGAATGGAATGCGGCGCGGGAGGCTGCAAAAGGAATGCCTCGAGTTGTCATGCATCTCAGGCTCAGTACTGCACATGCTCGACAGGCCAGAATAAGATACTAATTCTGAGGACGAGTGGCTGCAATGTCTGCATAGTGAAAGGCTTGGTGCAATGTGCTCGGATCGCCAGGAAGCTTGGAAAACATTGGCGAGGGAGACGCCGGGCCACCTTGTGCAGAACAACATATGCCCAACCAGCATGTCGGCAAGAACCGCCGGACTCATTTTAGGCAGGTGCCTGCCAACGGACTATCTCCTCCCATCCCGGCAAGAGCGCCAAATCCCGGAACAGCATTCGTTGTGCTGCCCGGCTGATTTCCGAGGCCTCCATAGCACGCAAAAATGAAGATGGACGGAAACGCACAAGAGCACTGCCCATGGCCCATGTCGCCTCCGAAGCCTGCTGGAGATCCACCGAATCCAGCATTTGCTCCAAGTCCCAAACCGCCGCCCAAGCCTCCACCGCTCATAGGCGGGGCTCCTAAGCCACCCATACTACCTCCTCCCATACCTCCTCCCGCAGCCCCTAAGCCTCCACCACCCAGACCACCCAAGCCTCCACCACCCAGACCACCTGCACCCAAGCCACCGCCCAAACCGCCTGAGCCTAAGCCGGTGCCTAAACCGAAGCCGCCGCCGCCACCCAAGCCGCCTGAGCCACCACCAAGGCCACCCCCACCTGTGCCACTTCCTCCCAGACCACCAATCAGGCTGTTGCCTGTGGGCAAGCCTGGCCCCAAGCCAGTGCTAGCAGGCGTCCCCAGGCCCAGGCCGCTCTGTACGGGGGGAGACCCGCCAAAGCCGAGACCTAACCCGCCTCCGCCGCCTCCGCCCGAGCTCTGAAGACCTGACACACGGACGGCTGCTTTTCCAGCACGTGTGAAGACTCTTCTCTCACACATGTGCTTGCATCATCTTGCATCGGCCTCCCGCTCCAAGAGGCTGCGCCCAGGACATCCTCCAGGTCAAGCTTGTCCTCGCTTACCCCACATGCATGGACCCAAAGTCTGACAGTATAGTAGGTCGTGATGATCGCGCCACATCATACCGGCTGAATCAGCTGTCAGCAACATCGAAAGTGTTGCACACCGTTCGGGCTTGCTACTTAAACGCTGCCTTCCAGTGAAATCCTGCAGACCGAAGGAGCCGTCAACCATGCCCCAAACCCTGACCTGTGACACATGCTCTTTTCACCCTGTGCTTAACTCTGCCATAGCCGGGGCTCACGAGCATCACGCCGGCACATCCTCAATCAGAGGGCTCTGCGTAGCAAGGTTGAGGGCTTAGGTGTTTTTTGTGTTTTATCGCCTGCTTTCTTCATGTTGAGGGAGTTTGCTGGAGGAACGGGTGGGGAAAATGCATCCGAGGCAGGTCACTGCTAAGGCATGCATTGAGGCCGTTTGGCGTTGGAGTTGTTAACACTCGGTGTTTTACGCCCAGGGTAGAGAAAGCAGATCGCCTTTGGCACATTCTTTCCGCAGCCGGCCCACCCAGCACACCGAGTTGACGAATCAAGCAAACGCTTTTGGTGGAAATCGTGCTCTCGTCTTCCCGCCGGTAATCTCGCATGATTCGGCCTCCTGAAGTAAAGGGATCTACCCTGGCATGAGGAAGGCGTAGTGTTGAACTCTCCCCGCCTTCCCGCTGGACCAGGTGAGTCCAAGCTCAGTAGACCCCTTTGACGTCTGCATGCAAACAACACCCAGTTCACCGGCATCGAAAGTTCGACTCCCAAAAGGCAAGGAAAAGTTAAAGGGCATACACCGGCAACATGCAGGGCTATGGATGATCTAACTGCGTCGTCTCTCGCAGCTCGGATTTTGCATGAACTCTTTTTCCTCATGCCGGCCCTCAAGCCTCAGCTCTAGAGCCCATTTGGACACGGAGCCCTAACCCCTTTTTGCTACCGGACTAAATGCCCAGACCCCTTGCTGCTACTGGACTCAGGTCCAGCCAAACCCGCAAACTCTGAACCCTATGCCTGAACCCTTTCAGGAAAAAACAACGTTAACAATGATAGCAATAGTACGAATAATTGTAAAAGCAAAAAGTCCTAAAACCTTGAAAGCCCCTTTGCTGTGCCAAGCGGCTTGGGCTTCCGAGCATTCTCCGCCAGGAGCCAAGAGTTGCAGCTCACCGCAAGGCTCCGGACATGAGGATCAGGTGTGGTTTGTAAATGTTCTTTTCAGTGGTTTACTGTGTGTTTGTTCGTGTTTTCTGTTGTTTTTTGCCACCCGCCCAGCTGAACAATGTCGCACCGCAGGAAACTCGATTGAATCCGGATCAGAATGCGAGGATCCCAGGGTAAGTACTCTCGTCAGACAGAAGCCCAGAAACAGCTGTTCTGGTTTTAAAATTTAAGGTTCGGGGTTGAGGAGTTTGGTGGATTTTCTCCCTCTCGCATAGGTGGTTTCGGGCTTAAGGAAAAGGAGCCGATGGGCTCTTAAAGTAAGTTCATAGGGCTTTCGAACAGTCTGTAAGGGCTTATGCTCTCGCACTCGGAGTCGTTCTTGGCTATGCGTGGCTTGATCTACAAATTACTAAAGTCTCCTTCAAACTTTGCCGTCGGGTAGGTTGCGATGTATTGGGTGTGTCATGACAGCTTCAAAGGCTGTGGCTGGTGGGCTTGGCACTGGATCTGATCTGTACTCTTTAGTCTGGCGACGGTGCAAGGCATGCCGGCATGCTTCTATGACCCCCACATCTGGATCTCCAAACAACGAGCTTGGTTGGATGAGTGTTGAGGCCCAAGACTTTTTTTGACTCAAGATGCCCCCTGAGGCGGATGATCAGCCAGCCGGGATCGCTGCGTCCATGCAAAACGTGCAGCTGGACATGCACCACCGCTGGCTCATCCGTCGCTGAACTTACCGCTAAACGAAACGGGACACGGCCTCACAAATTGTGGAGACCGTGCCTTCCTCCATGGCTTTTGAGCACTTCAGTCCATGATCACCTCCGAGCACTTTGACCTTATTGGCCAGACACCTAGAAAGCCTTGCAATCAGAATTTTCCTCCTGACTTTGAACGTCTTTTGATTGCTGCGCGGCTCCGTCCTTGTCAAGTGGCCAAGCGGTGTTTGCACTTTGCTCTTTGAAGCGCTGACTCGAAGAGCTTGAAGTTGCCGGCAAAGGGATCTTTGGTGCCCGAGATAAACAAGGCCTGCAGCCACTCCAGCCGATCGCAGCTCTTCTTTAAGCTTAATCAATGCTAAACTTTAACTTTAGCTTTTGCCCACCTTGGAGCTCGCAGGGAGTTCCGTCAGCTTCTTCTCACCTTGCTCTGCGATGCATCTTGACGCGTTGGGTTTGGCCTCACTGCGCCTCAACGACATCATCGACGTCGTCGTCACGACGACAATCGCTTGACTTGAGTCTGCTGCGCAGCGTCCCTGGAATGGGTCCTGGAGTGCTCGTGAGAATATTCCAAATGCATCACGGCGACGCTGCTGCGTCGGATGAATCAGAGGATATCCGAACCTGCGTGGGTCAGAAGTCAACGAGAGCCACAGGGGACGACCCATCAAATGGTATGTCAGCTCCCCCTTCAAAGCCATGTGTGCATAGTCATCCAAGAAGCGCAATGATGCCTTTACAGCTCTTCGGCAGCTTTTGGCGAAAATCCTCACAGTTGGCAATGCTTGTTGTCAAAATGGCATGCAGCCAGACGATGCTGCAACCAGGCTGGACATCGTTACATGTCAGTGCATCTGCAGCTCGAACTAGCTGACACACAAAGTGCGCGATACTTGCCGACATACCCAGAGACACAGCATCGGGTCGCTTCAAATCCTTGCGGCACATGAGGTGCACGGCTGCCCGCGCGCCAAATGAGTGGCCAACAAGAAACAGCGGCCTCGGCCCAGGTCACAGAACGGGACAAAACAAACACAATGGCAACATTGGCCTGGAGGGCGACTTCTTGGCAGCTGCCTGAGCAGCCTCTGCCATCTGCTGCAGGAAAGGCGCCTCCCGCTCTGCCTTAGCTGAGATTTTCACAACGCGTGATGCAACATACTAACACCTATAGACGGTGCCTCTGGCAGCATCTTGCAAAAAAGCTGCTATCATTTGCGCCAGCTCGTTACGTGCGAAAGTCAATCAGGCTAATTCTTCTTGGTCGCAGTGGTTAGATTCGGCGTACCACGAAATGACATCTGATGGATGTCTCCTGCGAGGTGCGAACTTTCGCGTGGCACTAAGGCTCCCCGTACACAGTGCATGGCGAAACGCTGGCGAAACCATCCAATTCGGATAAGCAGCCAAATTGTCCAAGCAGCATCCTCACTACAATCGGAGCCGGCTGGGCTTTCTCAGCATATTTCAACACAGCCAAAACAAAAGTAATGTCTTTGGCTATCGGATCCTATCGGGTTTGCGCTTGTAGACGGGTATCTGCCGCGAGCGCCCTCCACCCGCACCAGTCGCGCACACGAAGATTGCCTGACCCAGTTCTGTTGCATCGACCGCCAAGCATGATCTCCGACTCAAGTTCGAGAATGACGGCAAGGTTGGCCTTCTTGCTAGCAACGGGACCATTCGCCGATTTTTTCGTCGACCGCGTTGCACTTCCTGCAAAACATGCGCTGCGGAGCATCCGAGTCAACTTATGTCAACTTTCACACTGATTTTCGGTCATTCGTGCGTTGGCCTGGCTGGCGAGCTGCAGGCCGCTTGCGACTAAACGCCGCCATGTCTAACTAGTTTCGCTTTTCGTCGAGGGCTATGATATGTCGAATGGAGGGACGCCTGTAAAATCAGCTGGTGAGCCACACAACACGCAGAAGCACAGGCTCCAAAAGCTGCGCTGGGACGAAATGCTTGCAGAATCCAGGGTTCAAGGGCAGACAAGCCTTGTGAGCTCCTGCACACCCTTGAAGATGTACTATGACATCTGCTATGATTCTCTCCTAGTGGTCGAGCAACTGACCCCGGCGGGCTCAAGGCAGCCTGCCCGGAGGAAGCATGAAAACTCGGAGCAGCATTCTGCCTCTCACCACAACGATCATAGGCCCATCTGCGTTGATGCCGTCACTGTCTGGCTTTCCAAAAAATACCCTGGAAACGATGCTGCTCCTGTCACGAGTCGGCATGAATTACCTGGACAAATCGCAGACCTGTGCATCACAAGTTGGCGGCATGGCTGCTGTGGGTCGCCCTCATGTGAGGGATTACCAAAATAGCCAGCGGCGCTAATGCCGACACACCATGCCGCCAAAACGAATTAACAAATAAATGCTAGTCGGGGGCGTTTCCATCAGTTCGCAGATGACGAACTCACGGTGAAGATAGCGCTGCAGCCCCCGTCTAGAACACGGTGGCTTCTTCTTTTGAAGAAAGCAGAACATAGAAAGTGTAGCAAAAAAGGCAAGGCCATCTCAATGATGTCTGCCTGTTCGTTTCCGCTCGTCACCGATGGCCTGCTATGTCTCAACGGCCTGCGGCAAGCGCAGCAAGGCCACGCTCAAGGCAACTCGAAACACTGCCTTCCCCTTCTCCGGAGCCAACTTCGGCTGAGATTTCCTGCGTTTCAGCTCCCTTCACTGGGTCGAGTACCGTCCCGGCCCCAACAGTCTTGCAAAAATGACACAGGGGCAGGGGAAGCTGCGTGGGAGATGCAGGAAAGCAATGGAGAGCACTCGGCTACTTCTCGACAGGGCTGAAACTCATGGTTACGTTCTGTCCCAAGGTCCTCGAACAGCAAACTCATGAAGCACTGAGTCTGCAAGAAAGTCGTGTAGAATCCCACCTGCGCGCATGCTGTTCAAGGCATTCTTCCCAGAGAAACTGGAAGAGCCAGGACAGATCCAAGTTCAAATGTAGCAAGCTTCGTCGCCACAGGGCTTGCTTTCGGGACCCACTTCGAATGGGCAGGGCAAGGTCGATGGACATTTGCATAGTCATAAAACCAATGCCGAGCGTAAATCTGGAGTTTCCGTGGTCGGTATTTGTTGCTTGAGCGTTTCGGATAGTGGCTTCGCATCACGACGACGACGTCGGTGACGGCGACATCGACGAAAAGCACAACTCTCGCTCCAACTCAGGATGCAGAAACTGCTGCTGTGGCCACCGCAGCACTTGATGACCGGCTAAAGCTTAAAGGGTCATCTGCTGAGGACCTGACGGGTTCCGGGCATCCGTAAGCTTCTTCGTTGGCCCATAGCCACTGCACAAACCTGCAAGCGAGAGGCTCAAACACACTCACACACTTCCACATCGTTGACCCACTGAAGCACACCTCGGAAAAGAACTTACATCATTCCTCAGACTGCCAGCTCCCAGCCTTTCGACCTTGAGTGCCCTCTGGTAACATTTCTCGCAAAGGCTCTGGGTGGAGGAGCCCACCTCACATGTCGATCGGAAAGCACCGGAAACTGAAGGCGAAAAGCGCTGCAAGCATACATACAACAGCTCAGCTTCTCGACCTCGTTCTGCAGCTCTTCCACCTGACCTGGGCAAGTAGAACTTTTGCGACTAAGTCATCAGGCTTCGGCGCAATCCTGGCGTTCGGTGCTTCGACATGAAACCCAGATGTCGCCGAGCCACTCTTGGCATAACTCTTCACCAAATCAGCCAGCTTTTGCATGGCCACCTCCACTGCCTCGTGAACCTCCACTGACTCGAAAGAGAAGCTCAGCTCCATGACCAGTGCGCGGATGGTCTTTCGGTGTTCTTTCGGCCTTCGGAACGATCTCCAGCAATGCCTGGAGCTTCTGTGAAGACTGGCGGAAGCTTCGTCTGGCCTGTGACACTGACGGGACATGAAAGGAAGCGTGGAGAGCGAGCGCGAGCGCAGCTTCAGTGGCCTCCTTTATTTCATTCCGCAATGCGGTCTGCACAAAGCTTGGAAGTTTGATGCTGCTGCCTGCGCAACAGCTGCTTGATTGGCATTTCTTGCTCGAGACATCATGTCTTGAATTTGGAGCATCGCGTCCTGACAGGCCACCGACAGTCTCCAGCTTTTCGCTGATGTAGACCTTTTTGGGGCTGCCGCCGGAGACCAGCGGCCAGACCGGGCTCGACGGTCAGATGTTGGCTTAAGGTCAGGTTCCGGCCCATTCGTTGCGCAGAACGCCCGCCACGATGCTTGGGGGTAGCCGATACACCGTGTCGTAGCCTGACACTTCAGAAACTCCTTCTCAGCCCCAGCCCCCCAATCGCAGCTCTCAAGATTCTAGAGGCCAGCGCCCCAGAAGTGGCTCAGCATTGGCATCTCCCCGAAAGCCATAATCATCGGCATCGTGGCTTCCTGACGGAGACAGGAAAAGCACAACTCTCCTTCGGCTTTCGGTCTCGGCCCGGCCAAAAGCGGCAGCTCTCGGAGTGCTTCCGGCGGAAGCGGAGCACAGACGAAGGGGTGCTGCCAGCGAAAGGGCCACAGCCTGAGATCACATCGGCTCGGGGCCCAGGCGACTCCAAGAAAGCGAGGCCGCTGCAAGCCGCGCAGAAGAAGAGCCACCACACAAGCTCGCTGTGCATCACCGACCAGCAACACCTGCAAAAGCAGGTCTGGGCTGTGGCACGTGAAATACAGCCACAAAAAATAGGTTGTCAGTCACACTCGGGGAGGCAACCAAGGTGGGGCTTTCTTGCCATACCAATTTCCTAGCCTATCGGCTCTCACCGAAGCCAGCCAACACTGCCAACCGCGTAGAGTTGAGAGCCCTGCTGGGATCCCGGTCCCGTATATCCACAAGTCTTTGCATCAGATCAGACACCTTCATCTGAAATGCGCCACGAACTTCACCAAACCACCGTGTCGCTATCCTCAAGATGGTCATCATCCCTTACCCGAAGCCTTATAGATCCCTTGTTTTTTGTCACGCGCTTAAAGATCCCTCATAGAACCCCTCAACAGGAACCCTTTTGAAACCGGACTTGATGACTGCCAGCACTGCCCTCCGCTGCTCTTCAGCTGAGGCCCGGAAAAAGGAACCCTGCTCCAATTATTAAGGCCCCCTACGTCTGCCCAAGTCCTGTAATGCTTCAACCTCAGGGGACCGGCCTGCTGCTCGAGAAGCACGCAGGGCAGCAGCTTCAAGACCACCTCAGCGCCGCAAAGCCCCTAAACCCAAAACCGAGCCCCCCAATGTAAAATCTTTGATATCATCAGTTAATATATATATATATATATATATATATATATACACATATATAGATAGCCCTCCAAAACCCGCCCAAAACCTCACCTCCAGGAGCTTCTCGCCCCAGCGCGTGAGCAGCGTGAAGAGGCCCCACCAAACCGTCCACCTGCGTGCAGCTGCGGGGGGTGCGGGGGATTTTTTTTTTTTTGGGGGGGGGGAGCTCCTCGTTCTGGGCTCTTGTTAAGGACTTTATAAGTTCACTATTACCATAAATAACATGGTTTCTTTATTATGGTGACTTGAATTCTAAATTCCTTAACAAGAACCCAGACATCTTCGGGCTGCGCTCCGGGTTCGGCCTCCCGAAGGTATGGGCCAGAGGGCTGCAGGTCTCTGCATTGCTCAGGTTCTTGAAGTGAGACCACTCACAGCCTGGAGACAACAACCTCGAATGGCAGAGTCGCAGGGGTCGCGATTTTGATCGAGTTCAGCAACCTTCCAACACTTTCCAGCTGCGGCCGGGAGTCTTCTGCGGCATCTGCTGGGACATCTTGGAGAGGCAAAGGACACGCGGAGTCTGCAGGAGGTCGGACACCTGATCGGAAGCGCGAGTTCTTGGCAGCTTCTTTCGGGAAAATAGGGGACCCTAATACAATACCCTAAATAGTAGGATCCTTACTATAAGGTACCCCTAATTTTCGGGAAAGATCTGCTGCTGCGCGGCATCGACTCCGCGCAGGGCCAGGCGCTCCATCCCGGCCCGATTCAGGCGCTCGAGGATGGCGGGAGCCTCGCGTACCCGGACAGCACTACTAGTAGCTTTTTAAACTGGCCATAACTGGCCACTAAACCACTCTGCAACATCATGATCCTCATCAAGTCACAGCAAGAGGGCAAACAATCCGATCCCAGGTCATCTTCAGCTTCTTTGGATTCACAAACTGCAAGTTTTTCAACAAGTGATTAAGCCGGGCCCGCCTGCTGAAGATTCTGCCGGAAGATCTCGAGCAAAGTGAAGCTGAAGTCAAAGAAGGGTATTTTGGAGACCTCGGAAAGGTGGGAGTTTGGGTTTTTTCTCTTTTTTGTGCCTCGCAAGTGTCTCTTCGGAGAAGCGGCTAAACAAAGGACACCTCCGTCTGGGATATGCTGCATCATATTATCGTCGTCGTCCTGGTGCCGCGTGGTTACTGTCACAAGCCCTTTTGCGTCGGGCACAGCCAGAGCTTCAGTCAAGGCTCTCTCTGCGCTTGGCTGCGAGATACTTCTTGCTCCTGGCGATACCACACGCTCATGATGACAACCAGACTTGTGATGACCAGGGTCATCATCAAAAGAGAAAGAGCTGGGCACTGGAGTTCGGCAATTCTTGGCAGTCCTCCGCATCCCTCTCAAGCAGCCGGTGATCTGCTGGCAGGGCCGAACTTCTCAGGTCCTCGCTGCACACCTCAGCGGGAGACGCGAGAACTTCGCTCCAGATCGAGAGGGGCGGCCCCTCGGTCCTTACCAATGGCCCACTAAAGATGTCTCCAAGGCCAGCGCGCAACAGAACAGCAGATCGCTCGGATGCGCCTTCCTGGGCACGGCCGGCCCAGGGCCAGGGGCCAGAGCTCTGGACATCATTCAATCAAGATGCGGGTTCAGCACTTGTGCCAGCACCGTCAACACGAAAGCTTGTCCATTGAAGCGGTAGTCCAGTGGACCTGCCAAACAGCGAAGGCACGGTGATAAGTTGAAAGGGTGGGAAAAGCCGGTGGGCACCACGTCTGGCCTGGGCAGAAGCCCTTTTCTACCAGAAAGCTCTCCTGAGCGTAGCAGCATACAGTGGCATCCCAATGAGCGCAAACTGCAACCGCCCACAGGGTTTCGACTCACCCGCTACGAAGCCATAGCCAAGGCTCCAAAGCACCAGACTCTCTCGGCCACCTCATCCGAACATCACTCTTCTCAAGTCCTGGCGACATGTTGGTAGATGCAGAAAGCCCTTGACGGAAGTCTTCGTTCTGAACAGACGACCTGAAATCGGGTTTCATGCGCATTCACGAAAAAGTGGCAATGCACAAGAAGTGCAGACCTGCACCACTCTCCTACGACATCTCAGTGCCGCCATGTCCTGGGACAAGTGAAGCCAAGCGCGTCTTGCGCCGGCTTTTTGCCTCGGTACGCAGCCTCCGCTTCTACTGCGTCTGGCAGTTGCTGTAGTAGAGATAGCAATGGCAGAAAAGGGTCTCTCCACGAGTCCATGCTGCGCTCCCGCCACTGAGATGCCCTCAACAAGACGATTACCTGCGGAGTGCTGAGCACCTTGCCCTGTTCGATGGCTGCTTCTGAGACTCATCTGTGTCTGCGACATCAATAACCTCTCTGCAGAAACCCACGCTTGTGGCTTCTTCAGGCATCAAGATGCATCTGGAAGAGCAGAAAAGTTCATCGTTCGGCCGGAGAAAACGACGCTTGGACCCACCCTGCGCAGCCAATGACAAGCCGAGACTGCTGCCAAGAAAGCCTCGAACAGATTGTCGCCTGAGCGTATCTTGCGACTTGTTGACCAAAATGGAGAGCATCTCATGTGGCGTAGACACACCTCTGCGATATTGAGCCGGGGCACATTTCTCAGCGCTTGCTGTGCTGTCCTCTCGGCATCAAACCGGCAGGCACATGATCCTCGCGTTATGAATCAATCCCTGGTCCTCGACAGGAGTGGCCAATGTTGTGCCAGTTGGCTGCGGGGTGAACAGGCTCAAAGTGCCCTTAGATATATGCAGCTGTCTCGAAGCTGGAGTATTGCCTTGCCTAACACCGCCTGCAGCTAAGGCTCCATGACGTCGAACTCTCGACCATCCAGCCGTCGAGACCTTGCACAAAGCTTTGCCGTTGTTTGCAGATAGGCTCGACATGCCGACCACGTGCGCTTCTGTTCCCAACAAGCTCAGGTACGTTGACGGGCCATCACACCAAGGACGCTTTATGTTACAGTATGGTGTAAGACTAAGACAGTCTAATATCTTATACTGCGTGGTACATTTTAGCATCGTACAGTCTAGCCTAGCATAGTATATCTATTATGTCACCGTGTAGTATTGCATAGCACTGCATGGTATAGTATGGTATGTAATGTTGCTGTCTTGCCTCTCTCGACCGGGTGGAAGAGAAGCCGTCAAGATGCGACCTTCAGGAGGCAAATAAGCACAATAGCTTTTCGTATATTTTGAATTCAGGGTATAGGCAATTTAGGCAATTTAGGGCTTGGAGCTACGGTTGCAGAAGCGCCGCTGCCTTGCCCATGGGGTCCACGGAAGAAGCCTCGATGCGACCTGCCTGGGTGGAATCGCTGCCGAAGCTTTATACTTTATGCCCATCTGCAGGTGGCAACCCCCTCATGGCCTTCTGCGAAATCCGAGCCTGGTGAATCGGCTGTGCCCTTGGACGTAGGGGAAACCTCCAAGTATCAGGGTCACAAGATCTGCACAGCAACTCTGAAGGAACTGCTGTGGGGCACCTCCTCGGGTTCACTCTGAGCGGCCGGATATGTGCGACAGCGCTTGTGAGAAAAGCGGTTCTTGCTGGAGGAACTGTTCCTCAGCGATGACTCAGCAGCAGAATCCCCAAGTGCTACTACATGACCTCTAGTCGACCAGTTCTGCTGGCTTCGGGCGCCGACCATGAACAGTCTGTGTGGCAAAACGACTTTTACTTTGGGGGTGGGGTGTGTGGCTCGACTCGAGGCAGCGTTGAATATGACATGGTTGCCAGCACCGTCGTGCATGTGGACATGAGCGCTACGCCGCAAAATGTTCTGCCCCATCCGATGACCTTCAAACTTCCATGCTTTAGGCCAGGCTGCGAACTGTCCACACTGCAAGGAGTGCCGATGCTCTGGTGGCTGAACGGACTCTCTGCGGAAATTTGCACCCTGAGCCGGGGCCGTACTGAAAGTTGCTAAACCTATGCCAGAGCATACCATTATACAAATTATACTGTAGGCAGCTCAGCAGAAGACGGTCTAAAACATGCATTGATGCTGCTGTGTATCAGCAAGGCCCATGATAACATTGCATTTCCGCACATGCACCTGGACTTGCCAATCGGTTCTGCGCCTTGTTGCAACTATTGCGATACGAGGTGTCCCACATGTGTCAAGCAGCAAGGGTCTGTGCATCGGCCCCTGCGTGAAAACTCGTCATTGTGACTTTCGGTGGCCAAGATGTAAAAATCTCGGCTCAAAAGACATCATCAGGCACTGGTCACCATGCTTCCAAACTGTAGCAAGCCGGAATGCTCATCTTTACCCACTCGGCCTTTCCTCCCTCTGTTTCAAGGAAACCGCGGTTAGTGCTGGGTTGAAATAGACCTGCTGATTTTCGCAAAAGGTGTCGGCCGTCCGGTTGCAGCTTGCAGGCTCCTTTGACGAACTGGTGGCTGGGGGCAGCTGCAGCCTTCCGACAACTCTTAAACGACCTTGCTGATTTCCCTCCCTTCAGCCCCCTCGCCACCCAGCCCCCCCCCTTCTTCCCTCTCGCATTGCTTGGAAGTCGAAATGGAAGGTCTTGTTATGCTTGTAGGAGCTTAAGAATAAACCGTTACCCCCAAAAGCGAAGACGGACGGCTTCTCAAGCTGATTTCTCTACTTCCTGTTACTTCCTGTAAAGCACTTCGCTGCTCTTTCTCAGTTTGTCTCGCCCCCTTTCGAGCGGCTTACTCTTCTTTCTCAGGTTCTCCAGTCCGTTTCCGAACGAATCGTGTCTTTCTGACATTTTGTCGGCTTTTCGAGTGTCCTGTGCCTTTGGAGCGGTTCGCTCCTCTGTCTCATATTCTCCGATCCCTTCCGAGCGTGTCGCTCCTCATTCTCGGACTCTCTCATCCGTCTCTAGTCCCTCTCGAACGGTTCGCTCCTCTTTCTCAAATTTTGTAGTCGTTCTCAAGCGGCTCGCTCCTCTTTCTCAGACTTTCTAATCCCTTCCGAACAGGTTCGCTCCTCTTTCTGATGCCCTTGCCGGCGTTTCACTCCACTTGCCCTCTGCCTCAAACTCTTTAGTCGCTTACAAGCGGTTCGCTCCTTTTTCTGATTCTCTAGTCCCTTTCGAGCGCTTCGCTCCACTTTCAATGTTTGTCCACGCCGCTTCGAAGTTTTTCAGGTTCTCTAGTGTCTTTCAAGCGGCTTCGCTCCTTGCCCGGTTTGCTCCCTTTCTCATGTTCTTATCTCAAACTATACCGTCCTTTTCGAGCGGTTCGCTTCTGTTTCCCACTTCAAATATGTGTCCCAGATTCTAGAGTCTCTTTCAGCTCGCTCCTCTTTCTCAAGTTCTCGTGTCGCTCAAAACTTTAGTCCATTTCGAAAGGTTCGCTCCTCTGCCTCCTTCTCAGGTTCTCTAATCACTAGAATCCTTTTCGAGCGATTCGCTCCTCTTGGCTAGTCACTTTCGAGCGGTTCGCTCCTCATTCTCAGATTCTCTAATCCCTTTCCGGCGTTTCACTCTTCTTTCTCAGATTGTCGCATACTCTCTCCAGTCCCTTGCGAGCGGTTCGCTCCTTTTTCTCAGCTTCTGTAGTAACTTCCAAGCGGTTCGCTCGTCTTCCTCAGATTCTCCAATCCCTTTCGAGCAGTTCGATCCGCAAGCTTCACAGATTCTCTAATTAGTCCCTTTCAAGCGGTTCGCCCCCACTTTCAATAGTTGTGCCAGATTTTCTAGTGACTCTCAGATTTTCTACGCTCTCGGCGGTTCGCTCCTCTTTCTTAGATTTCTGTGATCCCTTGCGAGCGGATGATCGCTCAAACTCTCGAGCGGATTGCTCCTGTGACACAGACCTTCCTGTCCCTTTCGAACGGTCCGCTCCTCTTTCTCAGCTTCTCGGGTCCCTTTCGAAGGGCTCGTTGCTTCGTCTCGGATTCTCTAGTCACTTTCGACAGTTCGCTCCTCCGCCTCAAATTATTTCTCAGATTCTCGGGTCGCTTTCGAGCGGCCCACATCACTCCCGTTTATCAATTCTCTAGTCCCATTCGACTGCTTCGCTTCTCGTTCTCAGATTCTCTAAGCCTTTCCATCGGTTCGCCCCTGTGCCTTAGATTCTCTAGTCCTTTTCGTGCAGCTCGCTCCAGCTTCTCAACTTCTCTAGTCCCTTTCAAGCGGTTCGCTCCCACTTTCAATTTTTGTCCGACATTCTCGAATCCCTTTCGACCTGTTCGCTCCTCTTTCTCAGTTTCTCTAGTCCCTATCGAGTGGTTCGCTCCTCATTCTCTGATTCTCTGGTCCCTTCCGAACGGTTCGCTCGTCTCTCTCAGATTCTCTAATCCCTTTCGAGCGGTGCGCTCCTCTTTCTCGGATTCATCACATTCTGTGTCCCTTCAGAGCGGTGGTTTCCTCTTCTCAGGTTCTCTAGTCAGTGTTTCTCTCCTCTTCCTCACTCAGATTTTCGAGAACCTTGCGAGCTGTTCGCTCCTCTTCTTAAATTCTTTAGTTCTCTTCGAGCGGCTCACTCCTCTTTCCCAAATTCTCGAGTCCTTTTCGAAGGGGTCGCCAATCTTTCTCAAACTCTCTACTGCCTTTCCAACGGCTCGCTCCTGTTCCTCAATTTTTTCGGTCCTTGCCGAACGCACAAATCGAGAAGTGCACTTTCAGTGTGAACGGTTCGGCTGTCTGTCTGAGACTACCTCTTTCTCCTCAGATTCTCTAATTCCCTTTCGATCTCTGATTCTGCGGTTCCTTTCCAACGGTTCAGTCCCCTTCCGATCTCAGATTCTTTAGTTCGAGCGGCTCGCTCCTCTTGCTCAGATTCTCGAGTACCTTTCGAGCGGCTCGCTTTTGTTTCTCATTTTCTATCGGTTCGCTCCTTTTGCTCAAATTCGTCCGCCGTCCCTTTCAAATTCTTTTGTCCCTTTCTCAAATTCTCTAATCCTTTTGAACGGTTCGCTCCTCCGTCTCAACGTCTTTCTTTGATTCTCTAGTCCCTTTCGGGCGGTTCACTCCCGTTTGTCAAATTCCCGCTCCTCTTTCTGAGATTCTCAGCAGACTCCAGCATCTTGCGAACGGTTCGTGTCTCCTGCTCAGATTCTCTAGATCGCTCCTGTCTCCGACTCTTTCATGTTTTTCTCTCAGAATTTCTAGTTCGTTTCGAACGGCTCGCTCCTCTCTCTCAGAATCTCCAGTCCCTTTCGAACGGTTCGCTCCCATCTCTCAGATTCTTAAATTCGAGCGGTTCGCTCCTCCTTCTCAGATTTTCTCGTCACTTTCGATCTCTTTCTCAAATTCATGTGTACTCTGCGAGCGGGTCGCTCGGATTATTCAGTCCGTATGGAGCGGTTCGCTCCAGAGTCTCAGATTTTCCAGTCCCTTTCGAACGGTTCGCGCCTCTTTCCCAGATTCTCTGGTCCCTTTCAAGGGGCCCGCGTCTTTCTCTAGTCAGTTTCGAAGGTTCGCTCCTCTAGTCCCTTTTGAGCGGCTCGTTTCTTTGAAGCAATGGACATGTTAGAAGCCAGCACGCAGGACGATTGCAGATTCTCGAGTCCCTTACAAGCGGTTTGCTCCAAGCGGTTCGTTCCATCCCCTTTGTGAGATTCTCCAGTCCCTTTCAATCGGTGCGCTCTTTTTTTCAGACTCTCTAGTCCCATTCGAGCTGTTCGCTCCTCCCTCCCAGATTCTCTAGTCCTGTCCGAGCGGCTCGCTCCTGTCATCTGAGAAAGAGGAAGAAGCGAACGGTGGGCAGCGCTTGTTTCGTTTCGATTATTCTTTCCACCTGCCTGCCCTGTCTGTGTTCTCGGGTCTTTTCCCAACCTGCCGCGGGGCGTTGCCCTCCAAGAAGACGGAAAAAAACATGTTGATTGGCCTTCAGCCAGAAAGCATGTTTCTGGCCTCTGATTCCGTTTCGGCCTGTGACGCAAGGTGGGGGGGGGGCGGTTGGAAAGTTTTACACCAGCCCAAATAAATTTACAACCACTGCTGCTTATGTCATCAGAAGAAGCATTTAGCTCTATCGTTTTGAGTATCTTGCTGCTCCAAAAAACTAGCTGGTCCCTAAAGGCTATCGAGAGCTGACAATTGCAAACCCAACTCCGTGTGCCACGGAAGCTCTGCCTGGCGTTCTGCCGGTTCTGGCCATCCTGGGAAGCCGCCAAGGCTGCGATATTATGTGTTAATTTACATTTATACATCAAAAGTATATAGCAGACTGCACTAAACGTTGCTTAGATTTGGGTGAATGCATGTATGAATGAATGCATGTATATTACATTACATACTCTTTGCCGTATGTGAGACTCTCAGCTTCTGCAGCTTCAGTCAAGCAACTGCTGTAGAAGCCTGCTCACCTGCAGCAAAAGAGTTTCAGATCCGGCGTCCCGTGCAGAAAGGAGAGTGCGGAATCTTCGGCCTGGCTCCTCTTCGTCATAAGGGCAAAGGTCAAGGCTGGCACCCAAAAGGGTCAGCACCTGAGGGTTAAAGGGAATTCCGAATCCATGAAGCACGCCTGGCTGCCGTGCCCCCGGCCCCATCCAGGGACTCGCTGGCACCTTGCCGAGGGGTCGAGGCCTCGGACCTCAGGGATTCAACTTGAAAGTGCAGAGCAGCCCATGCCCTACCAGTCTCCTCCGAGGCGCTCATCGTCGCCTCCCTGCTCTCTGCAAGGTTGACGTGCCGGTGCCGCTGGAGGCGCTTTGCCTGCCTGGCTTATGCTGCGCAGCTATGACAGGAGACAAACGTAGCGTCGGAACGCCAAGTTGGCTCTAAAAGAGCCTAGGTATGCCCCTCTCCCGGCACCCGCACGCAAACAATGCTTAGACAGCTCGGCCTTCTCCGGCAGTTTCTGCGGCGCAGGATAGGCTGAGGTTCGGATGGGAGCCTCAAATCGTTGCTGAAGAAGGGTTGGAGCAACCTCCAAGAACAGCCTCCCAGGCCTCCACATGTGAATTGCCCGGGGCCAGGTGAAGCTGCGGCTGCTGAACTACGACCTTCTGCAAGGCTCATCAACAGATCCAGAGACAGATGGAAGTGGACAGCTAGGCTTAGACGGGTAGATAGAAAGATAGAGATACCGGTGCACCGACATCCACCGGACCGGCCCCCGAGGCCAGGACAGGTTTCCTCTCAGATCTCCGCTCGCGTGGGGATGGTCGAGGTGACGGAGATTTCTCCTGGAAGGCGCTGAAGGCTAGAAAATAAAAATCCTGCAACATCCGTTCCTGCCAGATCGGCATTTCTGGGTACTATGAGGCTCTTTCACAGTTGTCCTACTCCTGCTTTTCTTCATTTCGTGGTGTTGCTGCTTCTCCCCCTGCTGCTTGTCATGATGCTTACAGTCAGGAAAAGCCAGCGGAAAAGCTGGGCGAACAGGCAAGATTCACCCACAGCTAAGGAGAGAAAACCGACTCAACTGAAAATGCACGGGGCTTGCGGTCCGACCGATGTTCAGCATTGTCAAGAACAAAGCAGGCACTGACTGAAGTCGTATGGATGCCTTGCTAGCAGCAGTCAGGCGATCTTTTGAGCGAGAGAGATGGAGCGAAAGAGAGGGAGGGACAAACCGAGAGACAGCCAGAGAGAGAGAGACAGAGAGAGAGAGAGAGAGAGAGAGAGAGAGAGAGAGAGAGAGAGAGAGAGAGAGAGAGGAGAGAGGGAGAGGGAGAGAGAGGGAGGGAGGGAAGAGAGAGAGAGAGAAGAGGGAGAGAGAGAGAGAGAGGAGGAGAGAGAGAGAAGAGAGAGAGAGGGAGAGAGAGAGGGAGAGAGAGAGGGAGGAGGAGAGAGAGAGAGAGAGAGAGAGAGAGAGAGAGAGAGAGGAGAGAGAGAGGGAGAGAGAGAGGGAGAGAGGAGACGAGAGAGAGAGGGAGAGAGAGAGGGAGAGAGAGAGGGAGAGAGAGAGGGAGAGAGAGAGGGAGAGAGAGAGGGAGAGAGAGAGGGAGAGAGAGAGGGAGAGAGAGAGAGAGAGAGAGAAGAGAGGGAGAGAGAGAGCGAGAGAGCGAGCGAGCGAGCGGGCGGGCGGGCGGGCGGGCGGGCGAGCGAGGCAGGGAGGGAGGGAGGGAGGGCGAGAACGAGAGCGAGAGGGAAAGAGAGGGGGAGAGGGAGCGAGAGGCAGAGATGCAAAACGAAACTGTGTGTATGCATGAACAATGAGACATCAAGCCTTCATGAACTACCCTCATGAACTATTGTCTTTAGGAGCGTGACTGTAGGTACCATCCGCTGGCAAAATTGTAGGCTGGGTTTCCGGAAAGGTGTGGAGTACTCGGATGATCTGGTGATCAAATCCAGTGATGCTTCCAATGCAATCACTCCTTGATGGCTGCACCAAATTGGACTTTCCGGGATGGACGACCCCGATCCTGGCCGAAACATGATTGAATGATTGAAGCTTCATTCCACGAACACCCGCCCTTATGCCGGCACCTTGTTCGCAGTCTCCAGCACAGCGCCGCCTGTGAACTGGCAACATGCACCAATCGCAGGACACACCTTGAAAGTAGCCGGGTAGCCCTACGCAGGGTTCGAACGGTTCTCGGTGTCTTAGTACCGTAACGGGCACTAAATCAGGGTTCCCGGCGCCTTCATGCGGGGCAGAAGTACCTTGATAGGTGCTGCTATGCCTGTTATGCTGCTCTGAGTACTTCAGTGGAAGTACAGAAGAACACGAGCACATCTAAGCACGAGCACAGTGCCTGGGCGTATGTTGGAGAGCAACGTCCGCGCTTCCTCCAAGCGAGGCGAGCTGGCCCCGGCCTGGAGCCATTCATTGCACGAAAGTGTATCCTCTAAACCCTAGATGTCACTAGTCTTAGACCATAAGCCGAGAAAAAGAGAGAAGGTGAGAGGGAAAGAGAGCAAGATAGAGCAAGAGTGAGCCAGACGCGGCCACTGAGACTGGCTCGAGGCCGTCGTCGCGCTCGGGGAGTGGCTTTTTCGCCTTTGCTTGCATTACTGCTATAGTTCTGTCGTTGTTGCCCGTCATGGTGATAATGTCCTTCGCATGGCTCGCTTCGAAGTTGAACACGTTCAAAGATATTGAGAGTCTGCTAAAGCGTCTTGAGGGGACCCGACCTCCTGACTCGTAACCTCACGAGCCAAAACGCAGTTCGCAGAGTGGGGGACGGCACTTCGCGTCCAGCTTCCTCAAGATTTCTCGAGCGAGCGCCGACGGTTGACGGCGCCGACGGTTACCGAGACTGCCTGTTGTTGTCTTTGTCATCTCAGCCCCCGCAGACAAAGTGTCGCCAGGCTTCGTGAGTATTCGTGAGCGCGCAGTGAGTGGCACTGCTGCCCGACGTTTTCACCAATGTGACGTCTCAAGCTGATGGAGTCTGTTGGACCACGTCTGGGCAAGATGCGCTTTCGCTGCCCGGGACCGTCCTGTGGCTAATCCACAAATGACTTCTCTTGACCGCTTAAGCATGTGGTCCATGCATTTCAGAACTGAGGCTTGTTTCAACAAGCCATTCGGCAGTCCAGGCCCCACCACACCAAACAACAATAGCAAGCTGGGCACAGATCGCCCGAGGCTGCGACATCTGATCTAGTCGGTGACAGATCTGGCCTCGCATCTCTTCATCTGTGCAGCACATGGTTTGCACAGGGTGTTTATGCCGCGCCTGCCCGGCGTGTTTGGCGACAGAAGCAGCCTGGCCTTCGATGCTGCCTGTGCATCCAGCTTCCGCCACCACATACCGTCATATTACCCTCACTCAACTCACAACCATGCAGCTGCTCAGCCATCCGGAGCCTGTCCCGGGCCATTGGGCTGGAAGACGCCTGGCTCACCTGCAAGGTGCAGACGTGCCGACCTGCTCATGATGATCCTTCCATTCACTCGACCGCCTTTGCCACGGGGCGGCTGGTCCACCATGCCCGGAATGTCCTGCCGCCGTGTTGTGCGGGGCCTCAAGAGGAAGCGGCCTGAAAGATCCGCCTACCCCGAAAACGCCTGTGGAGGCTTGAGACCCTCTCGAGCGAGGCTCCCACAAATCCATCAGAAAGTCACACGCACACGCAGACCAAATCCCCGGACAAAGGTTGTTGTCTTTGCCACCTATCTCCAACAACATGAGCCATGAGCCATTAGACGACAACACATCCGAAGTCTACGATGATCCTGGATCTTCGCACCTCGAATGCAGCCTTTCAACCAGAACCTAGGAATTACAATTGTCTTGTCCTGCGCCGCAAGCTTCTGACTTGTGGCATGCAGTCGCTCACGATGCTCGTGTGCCCTCTCTGTCCTTGGCATGCCCGGCAAACCGGTGACGACGCAGCAAGCAGTCGCACACCAGAACTGAGCAAAGAGCGTTCTTTCGCACTGCCTGCAGAGGTCGGAGTTGCCAACTGAACATACAAACCGCCAGCTGCATGCGTGCTTGGTGTTCTCGCTGGCGAGTTGCTCTCTGCAAGCAGCCGTTTCAGCGCATAGCTTCGCCATGTCGGACTTTGCACCAGCGCTGGTGCCGAAACTCCTTCGGAAAGCTGTCGTTTAATGGGCGGAAGTACTTCTCAATACTGCAGCGGCTGAACTGTTACACTGCTACACCCCCTGCCAGCTGGCCGAGGTCTGTCAAGCCGAGTCACTCGGGGGAAGCGGAGGCTCGCCCCTCTGCGCATTCAAGTCTCGTCCGAGCTCGGGATTTAGGCCCATCTGTCTCGACCTTTGCACAGAACTCACGATGCGATGTTTCAGGGTCCGTGTGACTCGGCTTGATGTTTGCTGCCGAGATGCTGGGTTTGCGTGGCATGGTCTCTGGCGGCTAGGAACCGCAGTCTTCCTTGGATAGGTATGGTCATACGCCCACCGGCACGAAGCCGTGCGAAGCATGGGCACGCGATGTGTCGTAGCCTAGACCTAAGCTACGAGAGTAGCTGCTAGGCATCGTTGTGTTGCAAGAAGGTGTTGTCCTCTCAGGCGGCTCGCAGGCACTTCATCACAGCGCCAAGTCACGAGAGTGGTGCCGGACCGAAGCCTGCAAACATGTGCAGGACTCGAGCGCGAGTGCTGGAAGCCTTTCGGCTGCTGGTCACGCTGTGGCAGGATACTCTGGTACAGCGAGTCTGATATAGCAAGCAACCCACAGCGGACTCATGGTCGGTCTGGACCGCTACTTCGCATCGCGCTGCGGCGGAAAGGAACCTCAGTCAAGGTCTTTCGGATACTCTGCAACAAGGAGAGTACGGAACGGCCAAGGCACGCGTCCAGCTCCGCCCGCGCCTGCGCCTCCAGCTCGCAGGTGCGTGAAATCGAAAGGCTGCTTCTCGAGCAGCGGCATCCTTACATCTGCTACCACTGGCCTCACGGAGAGCCAGGCGTCGATTGTCTCGTGAGGTTCGAGAGACCTCGAGCAGCAGCTGGCTTCGCTCTTCGGCGAGCCGCCTTAGAGCAACGCGAGAGCGCAGCAGAGAGGCGGCGGAGCGCCCACGGAAGCCGACTTTCCCTTCCTTTCCCTTCCGATTCCCAACCCGCCGGCCCGCCGTTTGCGCGCCTGTTCTCCTCTTCGAGTCGCAGCTGGGCTTCGGCCAGGCGCAGGGGCCTCTCCAATCCGGCTTCGAGGTGCTCCTCGCCGGCGCCTCTCGTCGCCACATGACGGAGACTCGGCGCGCCGAGTCACGGAAGGTTCCTCCCCACCCACCTCGCGCTCTCTCAGCGAGGATGCTGTTCTCGGACTGCAGCCTGGATACCTGAGACGAGACGAGAAGTCTTTGGTGCCACATTGACATGCCTTGAGCGTGGCCCTGGCCTCTTGCTGCAGCTCCTCCTCCCTCTCTTTCGCACGGAGCTCATTTCGTCGCCTGAGTCAACCAAACTATGTTCTGCTTGCAGAGGCTCACGAAAAAAAGGCGCTGAACGAATTTGGGTTCCTGTGACACCAGCTACAAAGCTCCAGTAGCTAGCACTTAGGCAAACCCGCTCAACATCGTGCAGCACAAGCTTACGGTTGAATCCGGCTTCGATTGGGACCCAGGGGGAAACGCTGCTGTCACTCAGCCGTAGTGAACCCTTCGTCGATGCTTCCTTCGACAGGGCATGCTACATGGCGCACCTACAGTGGACAGGAATCGAAGCGGAACAGCTCAGACATGAGGGTGGTTGTCAATATTAGGGTCCCTTTTTGGGTACCCTAAATAATAGGTGCCGTATTATAATAGGGACCCAAAAAAGGGACCCTAATTCTGACAACCACCCATGAAAGCCTCAAGCGGACCCTTTCACAGGATCGCCTGCTCTGCTCAAGCTTGGCGATGAGATCCCTCAACGCTGCCACATCCAATTCCTGTGCAAATCTGGGGAACTTCCGGCCAGGACATGCCGCTTGAAAACGACCCACACTATGCACGCCCTGCATACTAAGATGCTCAAGATGTTTCTCCGCTCTTGACAAATCTGCGAGATGGAAGTAAACTATCTCCGCCCCTGGGAACTTGTGCCGGGACTGGAAAGCGACCGTTGCCGGCGCCATATGCCGATACGTGCTGGGACCGCCGTGACGTCAGCAGAGGTTGAGCTTCAAGCAGGCGGGGCAACGACGAGTTCTGTGTCGACTCCAAACCTTTGGTTCTTCGAACGAATTCGCCGTCTCCAATGCGACAGCCAGCAGCTCTGCTATGTGCCACCAGGGTGCTGTTTCATTAAACTCCTGACAGATGCTTCCGAGCACAAGTTGAAGTCTTGCTTCCAATCCCGGCACATCTCAGCATCATGGACACGGCAAATGAACTCATGTGTCAGTCCGTTATCAGACCAAGCTGCAGAACCATCCCGGATTGCTTGGCTTCCTCAATGAACTTTTGCAGCTCTTCAAATCCTGACCGTACTTGGGTTCAGCATCGCGTTTCGCCCGCCGGACCGCATTCCCTGAGTTGCCTAACCCCAGCCGAGTCAAGTAGAGAGAAGCCGTGTGAGTGCAAAGCGCAAACTCAAGACAGATATGTGGAAGTCTGCACCAATGGCCTCGGGCAGCCTACACGCAATATCCCATGGCAGGCATCGAGCCTTCGCTGCGGCCCTTCTTTGTGCAGGCAGCCTGGTGGGCACACGTGCCCTGCGCTTTCCCCGGCTTGACTCCAGGACACCGAACCCAAGGCCCACCTGCTCCACTGCCATGAACTTGCCCGGGAGCAATCGAGTTCCAGGAAGCTTCGAGGCATCCTGCACTGCGAACAATGCAGCACACGAGAACTTTGGACACCAGCGCCGCCGGCCGCCAGCGCCTTCGTCAGTTTTGACCTCAACCCTGCCAAGGCATCGAGCTTGTCCGCCTTGTACATGTCCTGGGCTCGATGGTGGGGGCTTTCAACGATCTTCTTGAAAACTGCCTGTCACGACACTGAATCCATGCGAGCGTCGTAAGTTGCATCATGGCCATCCGCCTTGACCAATATCCTCAGCACAGAATAATGGGAGCACATCCTCTGGACATTTTTCTCCTGACACTTTCCGGTCGAAGCTCGCATGTTTCAGGTTTCGCTCCAGCCACAGCACATAGGCGGCCCCAGAACATCCTGCAATTCGAATGTCTTCCGCGTCCACTTCCTTATGGCCGCTCAAGCACGGCACAGCTTCCTGGTCTTACAGAACTGGCGTGCCTTTGCAAGCCAAGCCGCCGAGCAATGTGCAAACTTTGAATCGGAAGCCACCGCGTAGGTCGCCTCAATCTGACAATACGGTGCCGTGAAGTCGACATACCTCAGAGTCTCAGCGATGATGTTGCGGAGCTCGTGCCAGGCAGACGGGCTAAAGTGGAGGAAAGGCCAATGCATCGGCCACTCGAGCGCCAAGGCACGCAGCTCGAGCTGGGTCTGCCCCGATCATGGCAACATCCCATTTGTCCAGGGCGGCATCATCTGCCAGCTTTGCCGGAGAGTCGTACGGGATGAACTCCACAGGCACACCTCCGCACAAGAACGCAAAAGAGTTCTCAAGGGAAAAGCAAGTATTGCAAACATGTTTTCACAAGTCGATCTCGCATTGACGCCCAAAGTCTTGGCACGAAACATTTGCACCGAAGTCCCTTACACCCTCCATTCGGGTGTCGAGGTGCCGATGCGCTCGGCGAAAGCTGTTGCCATGCTGGGTGCAAGACCTGCAGGATCACCCGAGGCGGTCCTGCAAAGGGGTGCTTTCAGCACTTCACCCACCTCTTGCATCCCGTGCGCCAGGCCTTCCCGTGACCAACAGCTGGTTGCGCATGTTGATTCCGACCCTTGGGGCTCCGGTCAGTCGCTAGCAACGATGGCTGTGACTATGACAGTACCAACGGTGCAGTAACTTGAAAGCAAAGCGGACGAAAGCTATGGGGACTGAAGGGACAGCAGTGCACGTAACCCAGTGTTCTGCGTAGTCTGCGGGCAAAGCGCTATTTCGCATCCGCAAGTCCCTAAAACCTAAGCTCTCAAACCCCATAACGCCCTCTACCCCAAACCCTTTTTGCATGAACCTCTGTACTAGAAGGCCCTCGGCCTACAACCTTGAACCCTCTGAGGCCGTGAGTAAGGCCTTCACGCGGGCCCAAGAAGGCCCTGTATTACGGGCCTGAGGGTCTAGAGTAACGCCCTACACCTGAAAGGCCCTGTATTCAGGCCCTATATCAAGGCAATACAGTGGGGCCCTGATCGAAAAGCAATAGGAACGCGACGGAGCCAAGGCCCTGGCCGGAGTCGTCCGGCGGGTGCCATTTGTAGGGCGATGGCCTCAGAATTATCTGCAGAAATCCTTCCTATAGTGTATGTACAACCGTCAGAGAGAAACAGAGAGAGACGGAAGGGGAGAAACAGTGTCCTGATGCCTGCGTTGCCGAGGATGGATGCTGAATGAGGCCAAGTAATCTCATTAAGCACAACATTCATCAAGAACATTGGGTCGAGGTGTGATATCACCAACAATCTTCCGCCGGCCAAGCGTCTCCGAGCCTTGATGCCATGAGACCTGGAGCCGCACTGAAGGGAGCGCCTGGACTTCAGCGGCATCGACCGCAGGCTCTGCAGGCTTGAGCCGCCAAGATGCCCACGACAAGCTGGGTTCTCCGAAGACAAGAGCATTTTCAAGCGGGCATCTGCTACCTCGCAGACTAACGAAGCACCGACTGCTCCACCTCATAGCTGTTGCTGGTCCCAGGCACCACGACCATTGCGGGGGCAGCCGGGGCAACGAGGCACAACTCTACAACTGCCACATGTCTCCTCAAGTCTCGTCTTATCTGAAAACCTGGCCCCCTTCCAAGAAAGGATCCCCTTGGCACGTTTTCCGACACGTATTTGCCAGCACCGCCTAACCCGGATTTGTCGAACAAAACCATCTCAAGATCATCACAACGTTTCCCGTTGACCGTTGGAACTTTAGAACTACCTCACCTAGTCCTGACGGAACAGCATGCATCCGCTAAGAAATCCGCGCAAGGGTCTCACAGATGCGGCACTAGCCATTACGGTAGCAAGCGACGCGGCAGCGCAGGCTTTTCACACAAGAACAGACAGTCTCGAATGGCCACCATGGACCGCCTTCGCAGGGCTGGATCCTCAAGTTGTGGCCAGGATGCAGGGACTCCCGGGGAAACGGGGCTCCTGCCCCCAGCTCTTTGTACACACTCCAACGTCATCACCTGAATCCATCGAGTTTGCAAGGCTGCGCGAGCAAGCTCAGCAACACGCTATGGGTGAAAGTGGATGGACCGCAGGCGGCCTCTGTACAGTGTACCCGCGATGGTTCCAGTTCGTGGGAGGTCTTTCTGAAGTATTATGAAACTTGCCAGTCTTGCCTGAACACGACAATGACAAGCCGAGTCAGACGTCAGCGCTCTCCTTGCCGAAAGAACTCCCCTTCATTCTCTCCGACGCAGCCGCTCAAACAAAGCTGATGCCTCTTTGACGCGCTGCGCCGCTTGTGTTTCACGAAGTTTAGACGATCCGAAGGGATCTTTATTGATCCATTTATCGGAAACACGACGACAGTCAAGCACCGCTGTCAAGTTTTTTGTTAAAAGACTCATCATACGGAGCTTCGCTGCCGTGGGCAAGAACTTCCGCACGCAGAACATGTTTATTTGGCAGCTGGAGCTAGTATAGGACTCGCTCTATTTATGATTCTGGGCTTCTCGCTGCAAGTTTCTCTGCAGCTGCATGCCTGAAGGTTCCTTCAACACAAGCTGCAGGCCAAAAACCAGCTCTACAGCATGTGGTGGACACCCAAAGCGTGCCAGGCGCATCTAAACCCTAAACCCTAAACCCTAAACCGAAATGCACATCTCCTTCCCACACGGATTTATTTACCACGACTTGAAAAATCGCTGCCGGCTCTGGTCCTGGGCCTGCGGACTCCAAGCAGCAAGGTCAGTATAGGATGAGAATCGGAATTAAGTAATAATAATAATAATAGTAATAGTAATAGTAATAGTAATAGTAATAGTAATAGTAGTAATAATAATAATAATATACTCTTCAAGACCCACTGCCCGTCACTTCAGGGCGCAGAGTCCAGCAAGACAGGAAAGCTCAAGGGCTCGCAACACAACTTTGAATCCACGAATGCTCTTGCTGCATTTCCGTATGACTCTACAGCTGACGATATCATCCACGGATGTTTGTATGCGCACAAAAATAAAGAGGCGGGCGACTCACTGAGGATTAAAAACTCGTCCCTGGCACAGGGCAGCAGAGGATGCTTTGGCGCGATGACGACGTGTTCTCGGCTGCAAGGGCACATCGTTGAACAACGAAGAAAAGCGTGACTTTTGCAGATCTGCCTGGGCCCAGCTCATTGAGAGGGTTTCTGGGCCTCTGCCTCGCACAGGGTTCCAAACTTCGCTTAACGACTTGTACCGCTGGTGACTGCAACTATGGCTTGGTGCATTGCACCACGCCACTCGCACATCACAGTCAGGCTATCTGCAGGGGAGTGGCCCAGGCTGGGATGAGTTTTCGTCGTAGTTCAGGATCCATCAACGCCTGGCTCGTCATGGCAAAAAGCTAAAGCCAAGCCCCGTCTCATGTCAACACCATGTGGCCATGTTGCACGAAGGCCGCAAGCAGGCGGCCGCTTCGGGCTGAGGACATCTGAGGACCCTGCAACCTCTTCCTTCGCAAAAGCGAACAAGTGCTCCGGCAAGGGCTTGGTGCCTGAGCAACAAGAGGCTCGCGCAGTGCCCCTATCCGGACAGGCTGAAACCGACGTGTTCCTGCTCCCCTCAAGCTTAACAGCTTCACGAGATCGCTGCTAGTTGCCGCTAGTTTGTGAAAACAATACCTGACTCTTTTGGGAAAGCCAGATGCTGCTGATGCGTGTGTTCTGGTCACGGAGGTCATCGAAGAGCGCATGGGTACAGCACCTCGTTCGAGCCAGCGTGCCCCGTGCTCCTACACGCGTCGGCCCCTGTGAGCCGAGGGATGGGCTGAAGCCCAGATGGCCGCATTTTCGGGTCGTAAACCTCGATCAACCGGCAACCGTGCACCAAAATTTCGCCTTACCCGCAACGCTCCGCAAGGCGGCGCGGCGCCGGCACGGCGGCGCTCATCTCGACAAGGCTGTGGCCAAGAGCTTCGAGATGTAGTCGACGGCATCTGCCGAAGTTCGGGCCCGAAAGACCTGGTCAGCTGGCTTAAGCTTTCAACGCCTTTTACTCTTTCCTCTCATGAACCGAGCCGAGCCAGCCGGCCTTGTGCCACGGGTGGGGCTTGATCTGCGGAAACTTGAACCTGAGCTCACTGAGCCATCTCAAGCGACCACACGACTGCAGCGTCATGTCTGGGTACAGGCTCACAGTGCAGCTGTTTTGAATCGCATCCGTTCGCCTTTCGCCGTCTCTACTTCTGGCCCTGATGGTCCACCTCGTCGCTAAGCCGCAACTCTGGTACGGCATTGCGGACTTGCAGCCCGGGACTCCAGCAGAAGCCCGCAGCCACGACAACGTCGGGAGACATCTTTGTCACGACTGGCCGCCATCCAGAACGCTTGTCTTTGACGCTCGGCCGCTAGATGGCACAAGCCTGCCATGGTGTCTCCAGCCGACTTTCATCGTCAGATTCATCCTCGCCAAGCTGATTCATCCACAGGAGGCGGCAGCTCCCAAGTACCTCCCTGCGGACCCTCGCTTCCTAAGCTGTGCCGTTTCAGCAGCTCGTTTTGCTTCAGCCACTTCTTTGCCAATGACTCGTCCAACCGGCGGAAGGCTGTAGAGTATCTATGTTCAGCTTCGGCTATATACTTGCGAAGCTCTTCAGGTCCTCTCTCTGGCCCGTACATCGCCAGAAAGCACCGGTACAAGTTGAAGGAGTTTCTCTCAACCTCAAATGCGAGGCCAGCATTCTCAACAGTTCTTCGATTCTTCTGTCTTTGCTAAGAACACTCTAAGAGTGTAACAGGCAAAAACAAGCAACAAAACAGCATAATCTATTGCGTCCCCCCAACATCGTCAAAGTAGTCCACAAGGTCATCCCCAATCTCCACAAGAATCTCAGATGTTGCCAGAAAGTTCATATGTTCCTCGTTTGGCTCCTCACCTCTCATGATATAGAGCAAAAGGTTCATGGTACGATAATCGAAAGACTTCAAGCGCAGAGCTTCTTCCACATCGCAGCGGTTGATCGAATTCTGTTCTCGCTGAGCTTTTGGTGTGGCGAGTACGGTGCAAAGCTTTCGCTCTAAGGCCCAGAATCGGGCGCCTTCGTCTAACTCCCGGTCCAGCCGTTCCGTGAGCCATTGCCGTTCTCGCAGGATTCCTCGCAAAGGCCCGAAGGGGTCCTCCACGGACGGATCAGCTTCCCGAGGTGTTGGCAAATGCCCCTCTCGCGGAAGCAAACTGTCCTCGTTGGCCTGGTCTAGACCGTAGATGTGGCTCTCCACAAATCCGAGGACGGGAAGGTACTTCAGAACATCTCGAGTGCTCTCCGAGTTCAAGCCGTGGAACATGTAGTAAGAATTGACGAAATCCTCCAGAGCCGACTGTGCCAAGTCTACGCCTTCGATCGACACATCGCATTGGCGTTTCTGGTCATGAATCCTTCCTGCTTCGGAGAGCTTCGCAGTTTCTGAGCACAAAGACACGAGATTGCTCAGGTTGGGCTCCCCAACAAGGTTAAAGAATCGGCCGAGAAGGCCAAGCCGCTGCAAGGTTGTTTCCGACCCGAAAGCACTCTGCAGAGCCAGGATGACGGCTTGAAGGGTCTCTGCCAAGAGCTCCTGCTCCGGCTTCGACGCGTCAGCCCAGGTCTCCTGGAGTATCCGGAGAAAGGCGCTCTTCCGCTGTAGTGCCTGCAGCTGCTCCATTGCACCCGACAAGAGCCTCTCCGCTAAAGTCGCTAAGAACCTGAAGCTCTTCGGCCATCGTCGAATGTGCAAGCTGCGGTTCTCCAGAAGAGCTTGACTGGGCCAGCGCCTCGGCCGTTCTGAGGTCCAGGGTGCTATATGCAGCTCAGGGGCTCCGTGTAGTTGGGGTTCATTGCCATGAGCTCCTCTCTCGTCGGAGTGCCCAGCACCTGCGAAGGGCACAGAGCATTTTACGTTGAAACTAGCAACACTCCGCTTACAAGCAAGGTGTTGGGCCCCCTTGTCGGGACACATCCTGCCTTGATGATCTCCACGAGCTGATCGACACCGCTCTCCCCTGGGAAGATGGGATGGCCCAGGATCAACTCAGCCTTGCACGGAGAGCGAGAACTGCCCAAAGAGTTTCAGGGAAGCCCGAGCCGAGCATGGAGCTGACACACAAGCCATCGACCAGATGTCGATCACCTGTCGAGTCAAACGGTGGGAAGCCAAAGCCCTGCAAAGCATCGGCTGCTGGCAGCTGATGCAACCCTTTCAGCAAAGCCCCTGACGAATCCATAGTCTGTGGCACCGAAAATCAACTCGGGCGCTCGGTAGTAGCGCGAGCCTTAGACAGGCTTAGAGCGAGAAAACAATGCAAGCCAGCCGAGTACAACAGCGACACACGCGCTCCTGGAAAGCCTCGCTCGCACATGGACATATCGGCATCCCCATCCCCAAACCAGGGCAGCACTGAGCACTGCTTGTATACCTTCACGACAAGCTGCAAGGAAAAGCAAATATTTCCAAAGCTGCCACGGCACAAATGTATGCGACGTTGGGCTCTCCCTTCACTAGAGGTTTTGCTGAGCCGAAGTCGCACACTTTGAGGGCATGCGTGTGACCTGGGCTTTTGCTGCGACATCGGAAGAGCTCAGTGATGTAGTGTCCCGAGGCCACAGCCGTCCACCAGAAGGTTTTGAGGCTTGATGTCCCGGTGGCATATTCCAACGGCGTGGATATATGCCTGAACCGCTCGAGCTGAACGACTGGTGCAACCTCTGGAGTGTGAATCTCGCCAGGCGGCGCAGGCACGAGCCATCTGGTAGGAGTAGAGCTGAACGAAGATGTGAGGCACTGGCCTCCAGCAGTGCGGCATCAAATTTGCTTGTCGTATGATTTGGCATGACCCGGCTTCTGAGGGGCTTGGAGGCCGGAACTGGTCGAAAGCACAGCTTGACAAGACAACTCAGCTGGCTTGTAACGTAAACCTGTTTGCTGCAAGTAAACCTGTTTGCTGCAAGAATCATCGGGTGGGATGCAGTAACCTGCAAGCGGTCTGCACGTTCTTGGCATCAAAATGTTTCCTCGCCTAAACAGTGAAAGTGCTAAGTTTAACAACCGCCCTGAGCAACTTCGACGGGCATTGCACACCCAAGCTCAACAAGGCCCGCCATTTTCCAGCGAAGTGGCTGCTTCATCTTCGTGTAATGCTTCATGACCTGGCCCAAACTCCCCCAGTCCCAGCAACAGCAAGAACTGAAGGCTCGAAACTGGCTCGAAAGCGTCTGGGCAGGATCTTTACATCCATCGCAATGGTGGCTTGGAGTCACACTCGATAGACGGTGTCGGAGCAGTACTCCATCACCACCTCGCCACGAAATTTCTGACACATATTGCCAGGTTGCTTCAGTCAGCGCTCGTCCGCACCCAGACACAGCCAAGCTGCGTTCAGGTAAGTCTCACCAGGCTTCTCGCCAGAGGTATAGAAGGCCTCGGCAAGCCAACGAGAGATGCGTCGATTAAGAGCGGGCCTGGCATGAGCCCTGGGCATGCTTCAGCTCCACGACATTGGGGTGTCGAAGTTCCTCCCGAGTCACTCAGATAACTCCTGTCCGCAACCTTGCGGTGGCACAGCCTTCATGATCTGCAGCTCGCGGTTCTTGTACCTCTTGTCCTGGAAGACCTCTTCAAGAGATGCACACATGAGGGGCAGCTTCCACCGAGATCTGTTGGCCTTCTTGATGGCGACCTCGCATGCTCCAAGCTTGTGAAATTGAAAGGCCGAAGCTGCCCATCGTGGTCCATGACTCTGACCCTGTCGGCCCCCCGCCGACTCACCTGTTTCAACCACAACGGCCTCGAGGCACTCTGCGAAAGCCACAACGTGGCAGAATGCCGTTGCTTGTCGAAGGTCTTCGGCCTGGTACACGACACCGAAGGAGCCGCTGCCCAGCACGCGCTCGGCATTGTACGTGTAAGACTTCTTGGTCGTCCTGAGAAGATGCCGCGACAAGCAAATCGTCGCAAGAGTGCAACCACAAGAAGAGCTGGCACGGGCTGTCTCGCGAAAGAATGCGAAAGCAACATCTCCGGAAGGCAGAAGACAAGGAGCTCGTCGGTGCTCTTGGTCGGCTCCACCTTCATGTTCTGGAATGCGTTCTGCACCTGCGCCCGCACCCCTCATCCCTCGGTGTCTACGGAAGGCGTCTCTTAGCCAAGGTTCTGCTCGTAAGTCATTTGCATCACCTCAAAAAAATAGCAAGAAAAGGCGATGTCTGCCCTGGCTCCATCAAAAGTCTGTGCCCAGTGCTCTTCTGCGCGGACGACATCGCACGTCAACTTAAACCTGTGACAGGAACAGAGCCCTCTCCAGCCAAACATGCCTGAGCCAAACACAGGTGAAAGCGCCTCGGCGCAGGATCACACGTGGGTAACCGTATGAGCGGCTACGTTTATGCTACCACCAAACTACTCCAACGCGGTGAGCCAAGAAGCGTCATGAACCTGAGGCTTTTTGGCTTGCCAAAGGGGTATCTTCTCGACCAGAACAGACACAACAAATCCGAGCAACACCTGAAAGGCTGACCAGCACAAGACAATCGCACTCCCTAACCACCCCGCTGTCAGACTACCGCAGACATCGAGCAGGACTCACGACTCCTGGGCCAAGGGCACATTTTGCCCCACGCGAGCTCAACTTCCCCTGCTGCCGCTTGCACAACGAGGCGATGCAAGTTTGAGAATCGAATTGGTTTAGGGTCAGGGTTCTAATTTGCACGCAAGCCTGTCAGGCTGTAAGGTAATTAAGCAGCTGCCCAGCATGGATTCTCCTGTACACCTGTTGAGGACCCAGCAGAACAAGCTGAGAACCTGCGACCGGCTACCAACGGCCGGTGCGCCCTCCTAGCTGCAAGCTCCGTCTGTGCTCATCGCAGCGATATTGCGCGAAGCGTGATGCAGCCTGCAACTCTTCAAGTGTGAATGTCTCCGGCGAAATCCGTTGCTGTCGAGAGTTGGATTGAGATCGGCGGCTTCTCAAAGACTTCGTCGTAGATGGCAGGCGCTCCTCTACCAAAGAATTTAAAGAGCTTCGTCCCTTCCAGCCCGGGCGGTTCTGCACAGCAGTTGGGCTGCGCTTCCAGTGTTTACAGCAGGTGCAAACATGCAGCAAAAAGCCACGTAACGCTTCGTCGGGCATCTCCCCTGTTGCACTTGCAGGTCGCACAGATTGTACTTCACAGCTTGCAGGCTTGGTGTTGCAAGTCTCATGGCTCTTGTCTGCAAACGCCGTCTCTGTCTGTGTTGACTCATGTCGAAATTCTCGAGAATTGGGGGAGCTGAAGCTCAAAAGACTGAGCTCCCGGAGCTCGTCCAGACTGGACAACGACGATGTTCGACCTCAGACACTTGGATGAGCAGCGGGCAGCCGGCCGACGCTCACAACACTTATTTTCCTGCAGTGTAGCAGCTGTGCCAAGCATCCACAGAGCTCAAAGGACTATGGTCAGGCTCGGCAAAAACTCCTTTGGTGTCAGGGTCTGTGGAACGACATGGACTTGGGCTTGCTCCAGCACTGCTCTCATGCAATCCTCCTACCCCTTCGAAGTCCAACTGCCGCGCCACGCCGGGAAGTGTGCCTCGATTTCAGCAGCAGGGCTGCTTTATTGTGCTGTTCTTGAGGCTGCTGACCTGCTCTGCGCAAGCGCTGTACAGGCGAGGCTCTTTTTGCCGAGCTGGAAACCCTGGAAGCAACCGGTTGTGTTGCCTGAGTTGCACGGGTCGGCATTGGGGGTGCTTGATGCGTTGAATCGCTGCATGAAACAATGCACCACACTGCTCGCGGCCAGCAGGCAGGGCATGTCAGCTTCAATAGTACAGTAGTGCCTAGTCTTGAAGTTTTGCCTGAGGCCAGCACTGCCGCTGCAGGCATACTCGCATCACACACACGCGGATCCTCGCAATTCGATGGTGGTCTGGCATTGCCAGCAGCTCAATTCGGCTGCTCCTCGCGACCGAAGCTGATGGAGGTTGCCACGGAGAAAGCCTCGCTCTCACGAGTACTCGCCTGTGCGCAGGAAGCGGCATGCACTGCGGAGCACGCAGGCATCATGGACTTCGAAGGCCTCTGCCAGCGCCCAAGAACCCGATGGCTTTGCCGCGCGGGCAGGCTCCGTGGCGGCTTTGAGGTCCGTCCTCTGTCAGAAAGGCTCAAAAGACACTTGCGCACTAAGGCGGCCAACGTAACGCATGAGGAGGGACGGCCCGGGCACATCTGGGCATGTAATGCTCCGAGATTCCACAAAGGCACAGGACGCCTCGAGGAGTGATCCTCAAGCGTTCAGCGATGCCTATCTCCACATCATGCCCGGCAAGAGTGTACTGAAGTCGAGAGTGTGCGCACTCTGCAGCTGGACTGAAGCAACAAGCTGCAGAGGATCCGAAGGACCAGACACGCACTCTTCATCCAAGTTACTGAAACTCGGGCCGTGCTTCGGGACATGGTCGGTCCTTGCAAAGTAATCGCGGCGCTTCAGCTGGCACGGACAGACAGCAGCAAAGATGGACAGGTGGGCGGTCCGACTTATACAAAATGAAAACGTTGGCATGGGACAGGGTGGGCAAGAAAAATAGGGCACTAGGGTCACTGAAGGGTGGGATGGAGCAGGATGGGATGAGGCCGGATAGAGACATCGGCAACTGGGCCTTCAAAAGCCCACCACTGGCGCAAACCCAAAAATCACACATGCGAACACACGCACACACACACACAGCGTACAGACTCAAGGCAAAAATTGATAACATGTGACCGCACGACACGTCAAGGTATGCTGCGAAACCATCTCCGCCAAGCGTGTAGATAAAACGGGTGCAAGTATCTGCCGCCCTTCCCAATGTACACTTCAAAATATGTGACAACACGCAGCACGAGTATCTGCATACACAAAGGCGATAGGCAAAGAGAGAGGAAGAAAGAGCGAGCGAGCTGTTTGCCCAAAGAACCGGGCAGGCGAGGTTTCCCACCGCAGAGGTGCATGGATTCAGGGTACCGGATCCAAGCTCTGCAGGCTTCTCTGTAAACCTCCGCAACCCGGCCCCAAGAATCTGAAGTGGTCTAAAGGTGCGGGTTGTGCACTGCCCTAAGGCCGCGCAAACCGGACAGGCACAAGCGTGGGAGGGCTGCCAGGGACGCAGAAGGGAAAGAGGGAGACAGGGAGAGAGGCAAGAGCCACTGCCCTTGAAAGCACGATGCCTGTTCATGGCATGCATGCATGTAAGTTGTGGCCAAGCCTCCCTGGATCGGCCAAGCTCTGCACCCGCTGGAGCCCAAAAAGCTGGAAGAACTCATCTCGCTGATGAGTGGGCTTCGGCCATCACTGTCTGGATCAAAGAGTGGCCCGCGCTTCATGATGTCGCTTGGCGTCCTTAGCTGACACTGGTGCAGCCTGGCGCTTTTGGACGGATTGCGCCGTGAGTGCTTGTCATCGCAACTGAAATTCCTCGAAGAATCTTCGCTGGGGTGATGAGACCCCGTCTTTGGCGATCTGCCAAGAACTCGTCAGCGCGCCAATGATATTCAGCTCCACGATGCCACGACAGCCTCAGTCGTCAGTAGCACTCATCACTCACCTTCCGAGGTCTGCTATATTATATTAAACTATACTATAACTATGTTACGTTGTACTCTGTTGCCAGTATGTTGCAATATATCATCCTAAATCATACTATGTTACTATGCTATGCTTACTAGAAATAATAGCTTGATGTATCTTCATGTGCCAGCAGCTCTTCCCCTGCAGCCAGCCATTCAGCCGGGATAGGCGACGAGTGTCTTGATCTACTGTCTGGCGGTGTACCCGCTTTGCATTGCCACATCAACTCCGTGATCACAGGGAAGCTCCTCCGGTCGGCCCTCATGAAAGGATTCCAACCACTTTCCATTTCCCGACTGTCCCAGCATTGGTGGAGAGTCACCATGCATGGCAGGGCACAGGCAAGAAGCTCAAACACACAGTGTTGCAAATGCGCTTGGCTGTGGCAGCAACAGGCTCGAGCCCAACAAGAACCGAGGCAGGTTGCATTTCCGTCCAGTACTCGGTTCTCGAATCTGACAGGGACCGGGCCACCACAACCACAAAAAAATTGCTCCGGGCCAGAGGACCCCTGCTTCAAGCAATTTTGGCTTCACCGCCGGACCGTCGCTCCAGAGTCGCACAGAAGAAGCCATCCATACCGCGGCTCTGTGGCCTGCACAGAAACTTCCCGAAATTGACTCAGGAGGAGCTGTGCTACCATATGCTACTGCTGCTGCTGCGCAGCCGGTCGCCTCGCATGTAGCGGCGGATGGCTCAGGTACAAGCCGAACTTTTCACAGAAGAATCGAATCTGCTGCGCCTCTACACAGCCAGCACTTCACGTTCAGTCACATTCAACGATCAGGTCGAAAGCATGGGTCGAGAAGGCCAGGCGTTCAAGCACGCCCATCACGTCACTCTGCCCTGTATGGCTGCGGCATTCTCCTCTTCAAGCACGCTGCAGGTCGCGTACCTCAGCGAGGTGGAAGAACAGGAAGTCTCTGCTCACTCCACAGGGGCACCGCTGACAACATACACCAGTGGCCAGCAGAGGGGCAAGTGTTCGGGGAGGAGTGGTCCACGCGAAACCAGACACAGGCAAGTAAGAAATAGTAAGAATGCCTGGATTTGATGCATCTCTGCCACCGAGCTGCACGATTTTGCCGCTGTCCTGCAATCTGTGGGGCTCTGATGCCGCTACAACCCAACTTGGATAAGGTCTTACGGGGGCCTGGGGTGTAAGCCCTCTTGCTGGCTCCCTTCACCACGTAACTGCAAGGCAAGGTGGAGGTGACGAGGTGGCCTTCACGTACTTCAGAGCGGCCTTTCACCATGGTCACCGGATCAAACACGAAGACGACCGACAAAATGAATCAAACCGGAGCTCCACTGTCAGAGCCCGAAAAGATGACCCCGGCCTCGAAGATCTCTCGCTGTAAGGCCACCCACTTCCAGAGTCGATTGTCAGAGTAGGTCCTTGACAGGCATGCTCACAGATGCCACAGATTGGTTCTACATAGACGTGTCGTACACTGCATAAGATGTCATATGATGCAGTCTCTGCCCCGGCATAAGGCGACAACCGAGCTGCTTTTCTCCCGGTCTCGCGGTGGGCTTGACTTGGCGATTCTTTGTACAAGCTATGGGCCAGAGAGTAGGTGACTAAAGCTCAGCATTGGTCAACATCTCACGGGAAGCATCCGCACTTTCGAGCATCTTCATTGCCTCCCTGCATCACCTGCAGGCGTACGTCTTTGGATCCTACTTCCTTCTCATCGGGCTCCTAGAAGACCTCCGAGCAGGCCCGCCTTGACATTCGCATAGCCGTATTCGCATAATAGCTGTGCTGCGAGCGCAGCTTGCCCTCCGTACATGCATGTGACAATGATCAGGGAATCCCTGGGACGATCGGCGATCCTCGGATAAGCGGACATGCAAGCCTAGAGTTGCAACAAACAGAGACATCACCTGCTGCCACAACACGTCGCATCCTTGAATTCCTCGCAGGCTCTCGGGAAAGGGCTGAAGCTTGCAGCATTCTTCCGCAACCCCGTCCTCGAGATCAGAGCTGGCCTTGAAGAAGAGAGTGCCCAGGGACACGTTGTAGGCACCCGGCAGGACCTCGCTTCCGGGATCCTCAGGCCCACATCATAGACATGTTGCATGAACACGTACGCATACACACATACAAACCTATGGATATACATATATATATATATATACACACACATACATGTCTAGGCACGTACATACATACACACAGACCTACACACATCTGTACATACATATATACATACATACATAGATACATACATGCACACATATACATACACACATGCATGAACGTGCTTAAGTGGTTCTGGGATCTAGGTGCACGTTTACATACATAGAGGCACATTATGAAAACAGTCCTGCACGTCCAGCAGGAGGGCACTCGGATCGTCTTCCAAGAATGCTTTGGCTGCTTGTGGTCCAATGAAGTTGGGTTCACCCACAACTCTTCTTGCTTCCTCAAGCTTGCTGAGGAAGCCCGACATCAGGGCTCGCAACGATGACAAACTAGTCTCTGAGGTCACTTCCACAGTGCTTGGGCCACCGACAGACATGAGACTGCAAATCAATTGCATCGCGTGCTGGTCCAGACACTGCGTTGCAACCTTCACATCACTGTTTTCTCGCCCAGTCGTTCATGAGGCTTGCTCCTCTCAGAGTCACCGAGGCCACGCCGCCGGTCTAAGTATTGAGGAAGATGTGCACAGGGGCACACAGTGTGAAACAGACGAGGTTGCGCTGCGCCGATCTGCTCATGGTACAAGCTTTTGAAAGCATGGTTGCGTGTGGCACTGCTCAAGTCTTGTGCAACCACTGGGAGCTATCAGCAGGAAGCTGGTGCAGCAACATGTGCGAACGACCCCGTCAGGCTTTCTTAGCAGTGGAGGTGCGCTTGCTGTTGCGCAAATGCTGGTAATATCTAGCCAGCACTTGTGCCGTGCTGCCGACGTTGTCTCGTCGCATGGCCACCTGCCCAGGTCAAGTTCCATAAACTGCCGTCCCTGATTGGCAGCGCCTGAAACCCGAGTCGCTGTGCAACAGCCAGACGGGCCTGGAAGGGCAAGCTTGTTTTTGCCTCAACGAGGAGGCCAGTGGGCTGGCGCACCAAGACTGTCGGCTCAGCCTCGGTCCAGAGGCCCATGTGCACAAGACTGCAGGACACAGGGTACTTAATGGATAATGGAACAGGACAAAACAGAATAGCAAAATGCAACATATACGAAAGCTGTGAGACGGTTAAGCCCATACCAATCACTATTTGCAACTTCGCACCTGCTCCTTGTGGGCAGCCTCTCGCTTGGCAAAGACCTCTTGCAACTCCGTCTCCCTTGTATCCACCGGCAGGAGCACCAGCGAGGGATCCTGCCAGGAAGCTAATCGCAGCTAGGTCTTTAAAATAAAGAGGCCCGTCCACCGCTCCTTCTCCAGCTCCTCTCTGCCGAGCTTTATTTCAACCGCAGCCTGTGATGGCGCCGTCTGCGCGATCCTGGGCCCAAGAGCAAAAATCTTGCAAAAAGGTCAAGCGTTGAAGCATCCGTTTGCCAACATTTTGGAAAAGCCGTCCGTGCCCAACTTTGCCCGAAGTCTGCGCGGAAAATTTGGCGAGGCCAACATGTTCGCTTCTAATGTGTTCACAACGTGTGCCCTGCCAACTTGCACCAAAATCTACACGACCCCGTGCACTTCTTTTGGAGAATGTCGCGCAGAAAGTTGGCCGGACGCTCTCTTTCCACGAAATCCTCCCGGGTAAGGTCTGAAATCGTGGGAACTGAGCCCAGTATGGAGCACATGAGTGGCAAAATGCTAGCCCTGCCGGCCGTTTCCGCAAAGACCTACAGGGGTCGCTCTAAACTCCGAAGCCTTTGATTGAAACCGCTCGATACTTGGGTCAAGATCCATTCAGTATCCGAGTATTTGGCTTCTTCAGCTTTCAATTCAAAGAACCAAAACGGTTGATGAACAGCAATTAGCTGTTTCCATCAATCGAGAAGTGGCACAACTTCTCCGTCTCTTCACACGACAATGGCGCTGATGATGCATTCTGTTTTTCGTCGTCAACCTTGTGGACTGGTGCAAAGCTCATGCTGTGTCTGTAGGCCAAAGCACCGCTTCCGGCCTCGACGAGACGCGAAACATGTCACGTCTAAGACACACTACGGGTTCATGAAGCGGGTGGCATACCCGGCGAAATGCTGCGTTCTCACTGTTTTCTGATATGTGCACGGTTGTCCTCGCACATGCACAATGCACACAGCACGTGTCATTATGCTGCTTTCTGCGGGCATGCCCAAACATACCTACCGGTACCGGGCTCGTGTCCAAAAAGTGCAGGAACATTAGGTCAATGAGGGGCGGCACATGTTTGTGCTCGGACACAGCGATAACATTGCGATCCCGGTCACCGAGCCAGCTTGGGATCCGCTCCCGCACCTGCAAGCTGCAGTGCCTGGGAAGCCTCTCCCGCAGTCTTGGCCGCTTCCTCACAGCTCCGAACTACCCCAAGGCTTGTGCTCAACCTAGCTCGCGAGGCGTCCTCACTTCGTCCCAGCACGTGCAATGCTTTCGCTCGCAGAGACAAAGCCGCAGCAGAAAGGTCGTGGAGGGACGACAACTTCGCTCGCTGCGCGGCTTCCTGCTCCGTCCAGGCTACGGTTGTCGCAAGCACTTGTCAATGAACTCTCAAGTTCGAGTGCCTCAGCCATCCGCAGAGTCGTCTCCCAAGCCGTCTGTGTGGGCTCCCTGACGCCATTCCTCAGAGTTTGACTTCTCCTTTCTGCCCGCGATCCGCTGCATCCCTCCGAGAGCCTCCCACAAAAAAAAGTCAGACCTGCCCTGCCAACTTGCAGCCAAGGCCTCTCAAGCTGCAGGGCCTCGGCGCGAAGAGCCTCAAATGCTGCTCGAGCCTCGCCGGCAGCGTCTGCCTCCTGGGACCACGAGTCTTGAGAGGGGCAAGGACCTTAAATTTGTCGAGATGGGGATGGGTGCCCGCGTCCTGCTTGAATAATCTCTGTGCTCTTGTCGCAGACGTCAGGGCCGCGTTGCTCTTGCCTTCGTTCCACATCAATCATCTGCTGCGACTTGAGTTGTATATTGTACATCCGGCAACATGGCAACACAAGCCCTGACAAGCACTTCAGAGCCAAGTAGCCCTGATGAAGCGAAACCTGGCAGGACATTCCGGTCTTTGCCTACCTTAGAAAAACTTGTGTCCTGCCCTCGCTGTGCCTGCGCCGACACGAGCAGAGCCCGCGCTTGAGCTCCCCGCTCTCCAGCCTCAGAGGCACGAGCTTCCACCATCTTGGGCCAATCTCCCTTCTTTCATTCTTTCTGCACTGCTCATGCCTATGTGGTTTTGTTCTTTTCAGCATGGCCACGAGCTCAGCCAGCGTCTGTGCACGCAATGCCATTTGTGCCGCGCTGCGTGGGTTCACGGCCTTAGGGATCATGCATGGTCTACAGGAAGTTCTGATTGGTGCCAGACACACAGCATGACATAGATAAGCAAAGCTGCAACAAGTGCCGCAGCCTTCTCGAGCCATGTGTTGACATCCTCCGCAGGGCCGGGGGCCGCGGGGCGAAAAATGCTCTTCGGCAGCAATATGAAGCCAAGCTTCCTCGCGAACTGCCTCTGTCTCGACGGCGAGGCCGCCCATGGCGCTCAAGCATTGCTCGGGTCTAGTTTGAGCAACAGCTCCAACGAAACATGGTTGGCATTGGACAAGTACAGTATCACACACCTGAGCGCCAGAAAACCTTGCTGCACAGTAAGGAGCAGTCCACTTCATGTCCGGGTTTCGTCGAAGGGCGCCAGTTTGCGAACAAGGAGCATCCACTAAGACCTTAGCCAGCGAAGACATTGAAAACTGAAACATTCCAGTATTTACATGACTGAATATGCAGTGTGCGTGTGTATGTGTGCATTTATATGTATGTATATATATATATATATATATATGTATACACACACATATATATATATGCATCTATGGGCATAATATGTCTATGTGTGCCTGTGCGCGCGTCTGTGCATGTGCTTTTGTATCAGGCAGACTACTGTCTAGAATATTTGTACAGTGACAGTATGTCGTTCTTTTTTGCAAGATACACAGTATCCAGGGACGCCCACAAATCGAATTGAGGACTTATGTCATTGCAAAGCTGCACAACTTGATCATTCAGCAGAGTGAGGGGCCCTCGGTTTCATGATTCATGTTTCGGTGTTTCGATTCTTGCAACTCGCCCGAGGCAGGCAAGGATCCTTGCAAGTCTCAGCTACTCAAGCAGACACTGCAAAAGCAACGAAAAGAACATATGAGCCATATGGGCAACGAGTCGCAGCCAACGTTCCCCCCCGAGGAAAGCATGCTGTTTCAAAACAAGGTGGCACCTGCAACCTGGGCTTCCTAGAAGTTTCCGTGATGGACACTGGGCACGAGGCCCAATCCATCTTCCCCCGAAGTCGGTGCAACTGCCTCATTCCAGGATGCGTTGGACAGCGGTTGCGGTGCTCCCTGCTGCAGCAACACGATGACGAGTTGAGTGGGAGGCGGATGAGACGGCGGCAGCAGGGTATAGTTGTGGATGTTGGCCTGACGAAGGCAGTAGTCAGAGCCGGGCCGACGCCAAAGTTCAGCCAAAGATCAGCAGAACTTCTGGCATTTCTATGTGCTCTTCGATCATTTCACAAGTTCATCGTTCACTCCCGGGCTTACAGCTGGACAATTTCCCGAATGCAACAGTGGAAACACCGAACCATACTGCATGTTACCTCCGGTTTCCTAGTTCCGCCAGCTTCAAGCCCAAGACCGGTATGCAGAGCATAGTCATTACGAGACGAAAGAAATGAAGCAGCATCCTACACCCCATTTGGCGTCTGCAGTGAAGATTGAATCGAACGACAGATGATATGGTCGACGCCAAGTGGACCTCCAGCTTTCAAAGAGCTGGACAGATGCTTCGATCGCGAGCATCACAATGCCAGCTCGATAGCGGAAGAGAGCTTATTATGGGCATTCATAGCATCCTGTGGCCAAAGATGACACCGGCTTGCATACGTGAGCCACCCGCGAAGCGGAAGAAACACAGAAACCAAGGGAGGGCGGGAGTGGGCGACTTTAAGACCCACGGACCTCTCTGCACAAATTCAGCGGTAAGGTGCCTCTTGCAATGAAACGGCAAACTCCAGGCATCCCTTCCTCTGCACGATGTTGACCAAAGAGAGAGGGAGAGAGCACCTTCTATTTGCGGGGCGACCATGGATATTCCGCATGCATCTCGTGCTCAGTCTTGACGGCTATCGCTTGAGATGCAAGTCGAAATCCCCGGCCGAACAGTGGGAGTCCCCACTGTGCAGGACGAGCGAGCTCCTGATTCCCCATCAGGGGAGCACCTCAAGAAATGATGGATTTTTGCTGCACAGCTGCTCGCAGCATAAGTCATACCAAGATGAAGAAATGTCTTTACCAGCGAAGTGGCTACACATCACGCCAACCTCGGCCGACGTGATGTCCACTCCTCAGAGCAGCACAGCAGCACACAAGAGCGGCACTTTCGCGGTCTTGCCCTTTAGCTCTGTTGGAACGAAGTCCGAGGATTCCCGTCTACACAGAAACCCATCGCACTGCTTCATCCTACGGCATCCGAGCCATGCGTCCCGGGTCATCGAGATGCTGCAACAGCTCCTGGCACGAGATTTGGCATGAGGCGAAAAGGTTGCGAGCACGGCTATCAAGCCTGCGCCCCTATGCGCCGAAGCGAGAAGACGAGCTTCACCTGCATTCCAGACTTTGTGCCGCTCGGTATTCATCTATGAGCCATTCATTTCCTGATTCTGCTGCCGAGCTGCAAGCTAAGGATGATGTATCCTGATGTTGGCCGCTCAACTGTTCGGAGTTGAGTTGTCTCATGCAGCCGTTGCAAACCGCAAACATGCTTCTCTGCGCTTCGTAATGAAACATGCAGAACTTACTTCAAGCAAGGTGCCAGTGTTTCTCGTTCCTTGGATCAGATCGTCCAACTCACACAGTGGGATGTCACAGTCGTCCAACCAACACCGATTGCTAAAGCGAACTCTGTGCGACCGGACCACTTCACACATGTAGCTTGCTCTCAATAGTTC